TCCCCTGTACCATACATACGTGTACACAAAACACTAAGAATTGCAGAAGCTATGTACTGTGTACCATTTGTGTAAAGTCACACATACTGTGTGTTCATGGGCACACACTTTTATTGGTTTGTGTTTTTGTGTGATATGGATAGTAGTGCCAACCTCACAGAATGGTTGGAATGGGGGGCAATTAATGAAATAATGCATGTAAAATGCTTAAAATGTTGTCTGGCATGTACACATTCTTGGTATGTAATAGTATTATTTTGCACAATCCACTTTTCTGTGGATTCAAATGACATGAAATAAGAGTGTAAAATCATGAATTGTAATGATGGATGCATGTCACTGCCCTGCCTTTCCAGGGCAGGAGATGCTGATGGAATCAAGGAGAGCACTTGGGGACTTCACTTGTGTGTTCTTTCTAAAAACTTATGCAGATGCATCAGGATGCTAAGATTTAACGGGATAACGTGGTCACTTCTTTTTAACTGTTAGTTAAAATATGTCAAAATAAAACATTTTAAAGCATGGGTTCTGTCATTTCCATGTTACTTGGAGTAAGTAAGTCACATAATCTCTTACAGCTTCAGAGACCTCACCTCCCAAAGTTGAAAGCAATGCAAATGGCAGTGACAGATGGTTAAACAATTGTGCCTCTGGGGAAATACCATGCAACAGATTTGAAAAATGAGAGTGTTCTGTGTGTATTGATACATGGTCTCTAAGACAAACAGCTTATGGGAAATCTTACGTTCCATTTTCTTTAATAACTCCTTGCTGGAAAATAGGAAGTGAAGCCAGAAGCTGTCGACTCATGGTTCTGATGAGGAATGGGACCCTGGGGATGGAATTGTCAGCTTTGTCAGCCATTCTACTCTATTAAAGAAACAAGGGAAAGAGTAAATGTTCACATGCCAACTCCTGCACCTTTGAAATTAATGCTGACTCTAATAGAATGGCAGGATTTTCTGTCAGGTTCTACTCAGGAGTCAGAAACCATGCCAATTACTTAAAGAGAACTTAAGAATTGTTGACTAGGTATTTTAAAATAAAGAGGCAAAAAGAATGCCACAGTGTCATGGAGGCAGAGTCTGCTATAGTCTGCCCTCATCTTTGATGTGTGGCTGCTGACAATTTTTAAGCACTCCCCTCATGTTGCCCCACATGGCGCAGGCTGAGAGGCCAAGCACGTCCCCTCAATGCCAGAGTGTCAAACCATGCAAACCTGGGTTTTGGCAGTTCACTGAGACCTATCCTGTGACTACAATAACCAGAGCCACTCTCTACCCCCAAGAGAAAGGTGCCAGCCCTGCTTCTGCCCAGAAAGCCTCAGTTATGAATGGTCAAGTTTTCATGATCCCATGTGTGTGCAATGTCATTGTTCTCAACATCTGAGCCAATTTGGGGGATGGCAGTGTTTGAATCCCACCTTTGTAGGGGCAGACCACCAAAGCAGGAACAAACAAGTGCTTAGAATGGTTGGAGGTTGGCAGAGAGGCCTGTGGAGCTAAAGTGGAACCATGTGGAGAGAATGCTGCTGTGTGGGTGATGGTAGTGTCAGAGCTCAGGAGGGGGATCCCCTGGTGGCTGGACCTGCTTCTGGGGCGGGGTACCAGCCACTGTCACTGGAGTCTAGGGAAGGTCACCATGAGACTGAACTGCAAATGTTGATTAGCCCCTTTCTGCATGAAGAACATGTAATGAGGTGTGTGCCTTCTAAAACATGGCTGACCCCTCAGGGCCTTCTTCCACTACCTTTTTTTGGTTTTAAACCTACAACCAGACTTATGTTGCAGTAGGCTTCAAAGGGTGAAGAGCCAGTGTAACTGGGGACATAACAATATGCTCCCCCAATCTGCATGATTTTGCTAGTTTTTACTGAGAGAAACCTTGGGTATATGTAGGAATGGATGTGAAGAGTGTAATCATGGTACAAGGAATATGAATTCAGATCAGGCCAAATTTATTGACTTGGACCCATTAGGGAGAGACTTGGGTTCATCATTTCTGAGAAACTGAGAATAGCTCTGTATATTGGTTGATTGAAATTCAGATCCAAACCTAACCTACACTAAATCAGTTAACATGCCAGAACTTTATTGGTACCAATGCTTAGGGAAATTGGAAAAAATGAGTGTCTTTATCATGTAATTCCTGCCCAGAGAAGGACAGTAGGGAAGGCTCAGGAATGTCCTAACAGGGGTTCTGGAAACAGTTCTCTGAGACTTTCTTTCTTCAACAGGATTTCCATAACCAAAACTCTTAAACTTACTGTATTTGGTGGTGAGTGAGAGTATATCTTTCTCTCTCTCTAGTACTGGGAGTTGACCCCATGGATGTTCTACTACTGAACTATATTCCCAGGCCTTTTTATTTTATTTTTGAGACAGGGTCTTACCTTACAACTGAACTCTGTTGAGTAAGTCAAGTTTTCAAAAGAAGGAAAAAAAAGAGGAAGCCAGGCAGGAAAAAATGGAGAGCAAACTGACTGTAGTGGAGACTATTCTAAAGCCATGAGAAATTTAAAGCTCAATTTATTTGTGGGAAGGAAGAAAATGATGCCTTCCATGTGAAATAAAGTGACTGTTGCTGATAAAGCCTCATGAGGGCTGGGGATGCAGCTCAGTGGTGGAGCACTGGCCTAGCATGTGCAGGGTCCTGGGTTCAATCCCTCGTACCACCACCAAAAAAATGAAAAAAATTATACAGCTTCATGAGGGGTTTCTCCTTTTTGGTAACTAGAGTATACTTAAAATGTTTTGCCAATCTTGACATTTTGCAGTGAAATGAATTGCTAGCCAACATTGTTGTTTACTTAATATTCTATGACTTAAACCATCAGCATATATGGAAATGGCACCAGACGTGTCAACATCTAAAGCTAATCCTGAATCCTGAACACTGTCCATTGGTGCTGATGAAGGATAAGATGCTTGTATTTTATGTGACCCGTGGCTAAAGAATATTTTAGGGAGGCATGTGTTCTGTTCAGGTTGTATTTGGAAGCCTCCTACATAGCAGACCATTGGGCACTCAGACCTTTGCTTTTGTTTTTTTTTATTTTAGGGCAACTTGCAGTTGAACCATTTTATCCATATCACAGTTCTCCCAAAGTGGTCACTCTAATTCAGTTATTTTTGGTGTAATTGTGCTAGTCAGAAATACATGCATTCGCACTATAGTAAGAAAACATAAAAGGAGCAGGTATGTGACATGGAAGTGCCAGAGTTTTAGATGGAAAAGACCCCACGGGGACTGTAGCATGTGTACAGACTGATGTGTATGTACATTTGCATATGAAAACCTGTTAAAGACCAGCACTCACCTAGAGAAGTTTTCAAATGCTTGGAAGACAAAGTTCTCAGAGCATACTTATCAAGCATAGGAAATTGATGGAAACAAATAAAATTGAAGCCTGATAATACTCAAAACAAGCCACGTTTTCAAGATCTGGGGGGATGTGGTGATGGGAAGAGTTAATATTTCCTGAAAGACCTGTCCTGTGTGGACAGGGATGGAGCAGTAAGAAGGCAAGTGTCTTACCCAGGTCCCCCCAAGTGCGGTGGCTGGAGGGGATGAATTGAGTCGGGGAGGGAGGAGGGGACAGAGGACTTCTCCCTCATTTTAGCAATGGCCTCATTTTAGGGTTAGGCCCATAGTAATCCCTGGGAAGGCTCAAAGCTGCTGACACCATAGAGGAAAGTTGCCCATGGCAGGCTGGCTAGTCGTGAACACATGGGGACATAGAGGAGATTAATCTACCACTTAGATCCAGAGTGCTCATGGACTGCCCCACTTCAAGGGGGCACCACCAGGCAGATGAGGAGAAAAGCCAGGTTGGATGACCAGGGGCCAGCCAGTCCAAGAGAATGGTCATTCCATATCCTGCCAGTGAGATGGGCCAGCATCATGACACATAGCCACTTAGGGACCCTCATCCAGACCCCACCCCACCTCCATCAGCAGAGCTGATGTAAGCCTAAGGATTCCTCCTTTCATCTGGCCCTGTTATGGTTATCAGAAAGAGCTAACTTCCTGTCAGTGTAGATAGCAAGATCCTGTTTTTCAAGATTGCCCAACCATCCCAAGGAACATGGGCAGAGGCCTCAAAGTTTGACCTAAAGTAACCTAAGAAGGGGAAGTCATTGAAGACCTCACATATATTACTTGTATGTCATGCATCTGGTTTCAAACCTGGGAATGGGCATTTGGCACATGTGTAGTAAGCATAATGGACAAGGCACAGGAATCTGTCAATCATCTCTTAACAGAACTCCCATCAAAGGCAAAGAACTAAAAGCACAGATAAGCCCAGATCCCCTCTCATCCCTGGGGGAAAATTCAGTCATGCCTCTGCTGCATCCTTACTGTGAATCTTCCTTTGATAAACTCAACTGCTTCCCTTTGTCTTAGTGAATTCTTTTTACCACCTGTGCACTGCCCATTTCCTAGACAGCCCCTGGGTCTGCAGAGTGAGATGCTCCAGCAGAGGCAGCTGAGGGTTTAAGCTGGGCCTGAGCTGGGGCAGGGTCTCAGCCACTGGCAACATGGGGACAAGATCTAATTTTTAGAGAAACAAGGGCATAAAGAGGGTGTGAGGTCTTAGGTGAGTGAAATCCAGGGAGTTGGTCTGAAATTCCAAGAAACACTTGGCTTCCTCTATAATGAACATAAACCTGCAGAGGAGCATATCCTCACTTTTCTATAAATTAATGTTCTGGAAACAACAACAACAACCCTGATGCTCTTTGTGGGGCCATGTGATGGAACTGTCAGAGAACTGTGGGAAAGGAAGGGCAAGAACTTCAGGAAGGGAAGGAGAATGTTGGGGACACCCCCCAGGCTGGGAACATCAGGCACCATGACAGACAGGACTGAGCAAGGGTGAGGTGTGTGTCTGTGTGTGTGGACATTCTGGAGTGGGCTGTGATCCTCCAGTGGAATCCAGACTGGGATAGGGTGGGATGCTTTACATAATAAAGGTCAGGTTGCTAGGAGCCCCCAGCCTTCTAGTGCCCCCTTACTACTCTGAAGCTCCCTTCATAGACTCCTCCACCCCAGAATCTTCTGACAGGTGAGACTCAAACCCTTTTTTACCTGTTTAACTCATGCCCTGGTCCAGCCATCCTGATTCTGGGACTACCTTAGAATGTGCTGACATTCCCGTGGCCTGTGGACCTCCAGGGGATGATGGGCAAACAGTCTTTGCCTGGGACAGGATTCCAGAACACCTGAATTTCCTATGGCTGCTGTAACAAATGGTCACAGATGTAGCTGCTTGGGATGTAGCTGATTTTCTCAACAGTGCTGCTAATCCTGAGTCCAGCAAGCTGGCTTGGTACTCTGCCTAGGGTTTTGCAAAACCCACATCAAAATTTTGGCTGTTTTTTTGTTTTTTGTTTTTTTATTTCTTTTCCCTGATTGAACCCAGGGCCTCAGAAATGGTGGGCAAGTCCTTTACCACTGAATGATACCAACAGCCCCTTTTTTATTTTGGTGGGGGACAAGAGAGTGGGGTGGGTGTGGAGTGGGGAAGTGTACTGGGTATAGAACCCAGGGCCTTGCATATGCTGGGCAAGCTACCACTGCACCTCACCCCCCCCCACTGCACCCCCACTACACCTCACCCCCCTGGGTAACTTACTGAGTTACCCAGGCTGTCCTAGGTCTCCTGATCCTCCTGCCTCAACGTCCCAGGTTGCAGGGATTACAGGCAAGTGCCACTTCATCTGGCTCCCCTGGGTTTTTATCAGGGCCTCTGGGGAAAATCCACTTCCAGGCTTATTTGTTTTGTTGGTGATTTCCTTCTCCTGGTTCCTACTTAGCCCCTGCCATGGTAGTTAGCCCATAATAGGTGGTGTTGGAGCAAAGGCGCTCTCATAGTCAGGAAGCAAAAGAGAAGGGTTGGGACAAAATATACCCTTCAAGGACACACCTCCAGTGACCTTCTTCCTCAGGCTAGGCCCAACTCCCTGGAGTGTCCTCCACCTCCCAATAACACCACCAGCTGGGCACCAAGCCTCTACCTATGAGCCCTTGGGGGACATCTCAGTTCCCAAACTGTAACACCATGTAATGAAACATATTCACAGGTTCCCAGGATTCCTGCATAGCTATCTTTGGGAGAACCATTCTGCTGACCACACACGGTCATGATTTTATAAAATTGTAAGGATGATTTTTTGTTTTCTTTTGTGAATGGTCCAGCATTTTCTATTGTTGATATGAGACAGTGTTTTTCAAGTGTTTTCAAGCTTTTCATAGTTGCTTTCTTTCTGAGTTCAAGAAGTGGCAACCGGCATTTTCATAAGGAATACAGACTTTAATCACGTAGAAAATATCAGTGCATTTCACCATCTGATTTCTCATGAAATCGTGAAGTGTACACACTCGCATATGTCTTATTGCCATCTATCCTAGCTGGCGAACTAATACTGGGTTCACAAAATTTAACTATTCCAATAACTTAAGAAAATGGCAAAGAAATCACACAAACACACAGGAGTTCCTCTCCAACCTTAAGGGTCCATGGAAGGAAAGAGGGCCACTGGAATTCTTTATTCTTATATAGGGGACCCACAAAGGGAAGTTCCATGGAACATTCTATCCCAAAAAGGGCAAAGGGGTAAGATTACAAAGGAACAGGTGAGTGTAACTCATCCCTATCACATGAAGCCTACTCCTGGAGCCACGCCTTGCTATCTGAGCTGGGGTAACGCCCAAGTTACTGTGACCTAGCACTACCCTGCCAGACGGAAGGCAATGATTGTTCAGAACCCCAGTGCATCAGGACTTAAAGGCATCTGCATCCAGGGCAGCTCCTGACAATATCTGAACTAGGTCAGAATGTAAAGTACACTTGGTATATACTCCTCCCTAAGTATCTCCACAGGATTGGTACCAGGACCCACAGTAGATATACAATTCAAGGATGCTCAAGTTCCTTAGATAAAATGGTATATGTAGTATTTGCATATAGCCTATGCACATCTTCCCGTATACTTTAAAATCATCTTGAAATTACTAACACGATGTAAGTGTATATAAGTAGGCATTATATTATTTAGGGAATAGTGACAGAAAAATAAATCTGTGCATGTTCATACAGATCCAACTTTTTTCCTTTGAATATTGTCAATCTGGCTGGTTGAATCTGTGGATATGGAACCCAAGGATTTGGAGGGCTAACTGTACTTTAAAATTGTTAAAATTTAACTTTAAAATTTTAATTTTAAAATTAACTTTTTAATTTTTGAAGAGATGATTTAAAAAAAAATCTGGCGCCTCCATCTGGGCCTGTTCCTGGTCCTGGGAAGATTTCTGGAGTACGGTGAAGAGCAGGCCCCAGGACAGGTAGGCCTTAGTGCAGGTGTGCATTTGTGGATGCCCAGGTGCCTCCTGCTGCCTCTGACCTGCCACTCCAGTGGCGCACCTGTGTTGCCTCTTTTTTTCTCCCTTTTAGATATGTCTAGGAGTCAGTTTGGACAGGGGAAGAAACCTCTAGATATATTTTTCTGGGTAAATGAGATAACCGGAGAAATCACCTACCCCCCAGAGAACCCTGACACACCTGCGGCTGCTGAGAAACAGGAGAGGACCGTCGCCCAGCACGGGGCCACTCAGGAGGCGGTTCAGAGGCCCCTGGGCCCAGCCACAGCGCAAAGGCCTGCCCCTCCACCCACTCTTGATGCTCCGCTGAAAGACCCGGACTCTACAAACTTCCTCCGATCTCCGCCAGCCTTCAGCCAGACTAAAGCTGGAGCAAGGAGCCCGCCGCCTTTTGCAGCAATCCCTGTCACCATCTCACCCCCAGGAGGGGCTCTGCCAGCACAGGGTCCCCTTGGACCAGCCCCTCTACCCTTACCTGCCACGTGCAATCCCTGTCACCATGTCACCCCCAGGGGGGACTCTGCTAGTCCGAGGCCCCCTTGGACCAGCTCCTCGGCTCCTACTGGCCAGATTTTCTCCCAGCCCTTCTCCCACCTTGGCCTTCACCGGCAAACTGAAAAATGTCCTTACTGGGAATAACCGATTTACCTTTTGAACCTTGAGAGCATTTGTCTGGCTACACCCTTTAAGTACCTTTCTGAGCATCAGAGCCAGAGCAACCACCTACCTATACCTCACCTCTGTGAGGGCCCCATCTACCACCTGCTCCGGAAGTACAAGAATCTCCCAGGGTTCTGAGCAATCTGCCACATGCTTTCAACTGAATATAAAATTTGACTTAGATTTTGACACCCAGTGTCTTCTGGAACTTTCTTTACTTCCTGAGCTGTCTTGGTATTTTACTCTGAACTCTTTGCAGTTCAGGAGTTCAGTTCTGATGTTGGAATCAAAGCAAAGTGTTTAGTTTCCATCCAGGGTCAGAAGGAGACCCTCTTGATGAGGATGAGAGCAGGTCTGGATAAGTGGAACCCACAGGCCTATTGTCCCTGGGGCACAGCCTGGGCTGCCCTGGCTTTTGCAGGCAGCACTCGGGACGGAAGGGGGCTAGAGCCCTGTTGCTGTCAGGTCAGCTTTTTCTCAGCTCCATTCATCTGCTCATGGGAAACGCTCCCTCCTGCTCTGTTCCTCAAGCTTGGACCCTAGGACAAGTTTCAAGGTCAGAATTCCATGCAGGACTGCCAGAGTTCATGTGGACAGACTCGGTGAGGGTCTAGAGGGGGCATGGGCAAGCCACATGGGTCCTGTGAACTCATACAGCGGGGAGGAAGGCATCCTGGTGAGCAGGAACAGCCTTAGAAAAAATATGGAGATGGGAAGGTAAATTGGGTCCTGGAGCAGGTTGGGGCACAGCTGGGGAGGAGGTAAGGCTGGGAGGGGAGGACTTTGAGAGAACTATCAGGGAGATGCAATAGCTCCTTTAATCCTGAGGACCACAGAGGGCCTTGGAGTAGGGAGTGTGGCTCTGAGGGGAGTGAAGGGCAGTGAAGGCAGTTCAGGTGAGGCCAGGGATGAACACAGAAAGTGGCCATGGAGGGGCATGAGGCCTGTGGGAACCACTAAGGGCTGCAGATGCACCCTCAGCTTGGAACTGCATCTTCTTCTCCAGGCAGTAAACTTGGTGGGGCAGGAAATCTTATATCCTTTATGCACCACTCTCCACGTTGGGGATCTCGGCTACACAGGACTACCCCTGTGACCCTTCACCAGTGCAGCTTCCAATACCTGTTGGCCAGAGTCCAGCGCCTGGCCCAGAGGAAGCATGGAAAACCCTCAGCCAAGGATTTCAAGGCCTTCTGAGTACATGACTCCCTCAGGAAGGTGTGCCCTCTTTCCTATTCCTGCCTATTCCGGGGCAGGACGCTGCCATGTGTCCCTTGGGCCTGTGCATCCCTAAGGGTGACCTGCATGAGTTCTAGGGTTAGAGGAAGGGAAACTTTGAACCTAGGTTTTTGGGATACTGGTTTTGTGGATGTGGGTAGGTAGACCTCAGGAGCCTTTCACCTTCTGTTAGAACAACTGAGTCTGTGTGTTTATTGAACACCTGTTAATATGTAGGAAACCTGGTGCCCTCAGCTGGATGGCCGTGGAGGTCTATAGTAGTCTATTTGCTTCCCAGTGATGGGCTTACCATATCCTGACACTGGCGAGGCCTCTGATGGCTAGAGAGTTCTTCTGTCTCACCACTGCCTCACCTCCTTTGACTTAATGCCAATCCCAGGAGAGCTAACTGGTTAATCAGCCAGGACAAAGAACATGCTAACCTCAGGCTGTGAGCGGGGGAATGGTCCCGTGGTTATCCACATTCTCTGCTGCATCCATTCCCCTCACCTGAGGAAGTATTTTTGGTCAGAACAGAAGGTGATATTGAGGGTGATGACCCAGAACAGGGGACCCCAGTGAGCTCCAGACCTGGTTGGCTGGCCTGGCAGATGGAGGCAGTGGGAGGGGCCTGGGTTGGCTCCTGGGTACTATGACTCCCTGGCGCAGTTCACTGATCATCCTGATGTGGCCCAGTGCCCATGGTACTTGCTGGTCTGGTACAAAGGCTTCTCTGCTTGGTGTCTGTGAACATGTGGCTACAGGTGTTCCGGAACCAGCTTTACCTCTCTCCTGTGGTGACAAGTGTGACCTTTCTGCTGAGGGCCATGGAGAGTTATACCCAGCCACAGTGAGAGCGTCAGTCAATAGAGTTCTGGGGTCTTCGGGTCTGGGTTTGAAGCCCAGCTCCTTTACTTCCTAGCAAGCTAAGCAACACCTACCTACAAGATGGGGGTGAGAAAGAGGGCCTGCTCCAGGTCACCAGGGAGGTTGCAGCAAACACTCTCTGGGGTGTGATGTACACAATGGAAGCCCAGCCCTGGCTGAGGAGGGAGGTAGATTCTGAGAGCTGAGGGATTGTTCCGTACAGTCCTTCTGCGCTGCGATACCGGTATAAGAGGGCCTGCCACTCCCCGCTAGCTCAGCTGCTGAGGCTCATAAGCTCAGTGTGGGGATAGGCAAGATGCTTCCTGGAGGCGCCTTGAATCCAGCCCTCAAATCCCCCTGGCTGTCCCTCTGCCAGAGAGCTGTTCAGGTGGAGGGAGTGGGTCCTGTTTTGACCCTCATAGATATGGGCTCCCAGCCTGTGTACCACTTCATGACCCAAGGAGACTACAGGATGGGGACAGTTCCTCCCTGGGACCCAGTCTGTGCTATCACCTGCTATAGGCCCACAAAGGACAAGGAGCCAGCTTATCTTCCTGGACTCATCTTGGATTTTAGCTGGTGGAAACAAGGGACCTAGTAAGACACAGTCTCTGCATATGATATGGGCTTTTCTCCTAGATTCCACGTGGTAGGGGTTGGGGGCTGGCCAAATAGGCTGCACCTGGGCTGAGAGGAGGCCCGTGTGCTGTCTCTCACTGGGATACACAACAAGAACAGGCCACTCCCGGGGACAGTGGGCCAACGTAGTGAATGTGCAGGACCTGGTTCCTATAAGCCCATGGGCTCCATGCTCCTCACCTGCACACTAGGGAAGCCCCTGCTTTATGCAGCCTGGGACCTTAAGTATGCCTCTGTGCCTGCTCATCCCTAGGTCTGTCCACTAGACCACAATACCGCAGCAGTTCTTCCCTCCAGAACTCATCCGGCCGGGCTACCCTGGGTGGAGACAAATCAATCACAAAGCCCATGCACCTTGCTTTGAGGAAGGGGTGGGCTGCTAATATCAGGTCATCAGGAGCAAGGCTGCTATATCTCAGTGTCAAGGATGTAGATATTCAATAAGATTTGTTTTGTTTTTGATAAATGAGTAATATGCTAGCAAGGCTCAGGAGCCAGGCCACAGGAATGGGGACACTGATAAGTCAGTGTTATCCACCTGGGGCCAATTGGTACTGAGCAATGGCTTGCTTCCCCATGTGCATATAAGCCTAATACTGTGGCATGCTGCTTTTTGCAAAAAGAAAACATTTTATTGGAGGTTAACTGATAAGGAGACAGGAGGCATGCTCAAATCCATCTCCCATCGGCCGTTGAAGAGGGGTTTTGAGGACTTTTTGAAGTTGAAGGGACTGGTGATGTCTTGGGTCTTGATTGGATGCTTCTGTCTTTCAAAATGTTAATGAAAAATATAAATTCTGCTTTCTTTTTTTATATTTATTTTTTTAGCTTTCAGTGGGCATAACATCTTTATTTTATTTTTACGTGGTGCTGAGGATCGAACCCAGCGCCCTGCACATGCCAGGCGAGTGCGCTACCGCTTGAGCCACATTCCCAGCCCCATAAATTCTGCTTTCAAGGAAAAAAGAAATAGTTTATTATGAGCCAAATGTGAGTGCCTAAAGCCCAAGAACAGATTCAAGTTACTCTGAATGATGAGCTCCGAAGAGGAAGAGGTTACATCAACTTTTATAGTCAAAGAACAAAAAAGTTATCAACTTCCAACAAATTCATTGGTGGCTGTGTTAGGTAGGCAGTTATAGCAAGGCAGGGAAATCTTTTCTATAGGGTTCAGACATTATCTTAGAGCATTGTTACCTTTTGGGGTTGGTGGAGGCTAATGGTGTCCTTTCCTTTTTTTTTTTTTAATATTTATTTTTTAGTTCTCGGCAGACACAACATCTTTGTTGGTATGTGGTGCTGAGGATCGAACCCGGGCCGCACGCATGCCAGGCGAGCGCGCTACCGCTTGAGCCACATCCCCAGCCCATAATGGTGTCCTTTCCATGGGACGAAATAACAAACATTAACTAAGCTTAATAATACCTTTGGAGATATTTACCTGTTAGTCATAAACCAGACACAAAGGTTAAAAGCAAATGGCTATTTTCCTAAAGTGACTATGACAGTCCAAGATAATTTTGGCTCTACTTTTGGGGGTGGTAGTGGTGGTGGTGGTGGTAGTACTGGGGATTGAACCCAGGGGCACTTAACTGCTGAGCCACATCTCCAGCCCTTTTTATTTTTTGAGACAGAGTCTTGCTAAGCTGCTTAGGCCTCAAAGTTGAGATCCTCCTGCCTCTGCCTCCTGATTCGTTGGGGTTACAGGCATGTGCCACCATGCCTGGTGATAATTTGGGTTCTAGAAATGCACCATTCCATCTCTCCACAATCTCGATGTTCTACTTAGCTGAGATCAAACAGCCTGCAAGACTTTGAATATGGAGGCAGCTTTTTAGAGAACTTCAGCTTTACTAAGGTTTTTGCTATTTGAGTCCTATGTTATAATTTCATGATTAGTATCCCTGCCCTTGGTTGCAATTCATGTAGCTCTCATTCCTGAATCTAAGTCTTTTAAGTTCTGTCCAGTTTGGGGTCATTCTTAGGTTAGATTTTAAGGCGCTTCACAGGACCCCATGTTATGCAAAATATATAACAGTTAGAAAAGAGGAAGTTACTTAAAAATGTCTAATAGGCAAAGATCTGAGCCTCATAATGATTTGAATATTTTAAAGGGAGGCATGAATATGGGGCTCAGTAGAGTCAGAGAAGGTTTCCATAGCTGCTACATGCAGTGCCACAGGGGTGCACTGACCAGGAGTACTAGAGGGTACCGTACGCTCCTCCTGCAGGTAAAAGGCTAGAGCTAAACCAAAGAATTGGACTGGCTCAGTGGAGGCTGGCACTTATGGGAGACCCTAACCTGGGAGCTGTGAGTGAATGTGAAATGATATTCATGGAGGACAAGAGAGTTTGCATCCTGCTGGGATCTAAGATGGACTTCATGATGCCCACAATGGTGGGTTCTCTCTGCAAAGTCCTGCAAGGGCAGAATACAACAAAGTAAGGTTTTTTAATGGTGATCCCAAGTTACCAGATATGGGGAGGGGGCTTGAATTGTGGCCTGCAAAATGATACGCCCATGTCCTCATCTCTGGAACTGGTAACATTACCTTATATGGCAAGGTTTATGATTATATGGCAAAGTTAAGACTCTTGAGAAGAGGGACCTATTCTGGAATATCTGGTGTGCCCTACGGATTTTCTTATGAGAGGCAGAGATAGTTTTGAACTGAGGCACAGAGGATGCAGAGAAGAGGAGCAGGTACTGTGATGACAGGCAGACATTAGAGTGATTGGGCTACAAGTCAAGGAGTGCCCACAGCCAACAGAGGTTGGCAGAGGCAAAGGAAGGACTCTTTCTGGGACAGCAGTCATTTCAACACCTGATTCCTGCTGTATAAGCCAGCTAGTTTGTAATTTATTCCAGCTGCTAATGTACCAAGAAAAATGATGATTTTTCATCAAACTGAGCTAAATGATGCTCAGTCCTCCAGTGTCAGCTCCTCACAACAGCTTTCTGATTGGTCCCTGCCATGTCACCAGTGCCTAGGATCTCCCTGTTTGTTAGGAATCTAGGAGGAAAGAAAAAGGTTAATGATTTTATTTCCAAATTTAAAAATCCTGAGTTCTGGAGTGAAAAATAAAAGTGAGGCACTAGGGTTGGTCTCTACTCCTGTGGTCACACTGTCCTTCCTAAGGCCTAGCTGCTTGTCCTGCTGACCTCCAAGTCTCTGGCTCATGCACACAGATACCAGGTCTAGGCCAGTGCCTGTGGTTGCGATAAAAGAGAAAATGCAAAACTCTCTACCTCTTGAAGATTGGATGGCCCCTCCAGCTTGCACCACATCTTGTACTGAGCAGCACACCCCATGCCCTGGTTGGAACAAGGGTGGAATGAAAAGGTGAGGGACAAGGGTGCTGCCCAGCTTCTCTTGGAGCTGGAGGGTGCAGAACTGACGGGCTCCAGATCAAACCCCTGGTGGGGCAGGCTTGCCCAGAGCTGGGGTGTTCCTCTTGCTCAAATCCCTCCCTGGCCACAGGACACCTGGGCTCCAATGCCAACTCTGCCTGCTGCAGTCTGAAGGGTTTGGACAAACCTTTTCTTTATTTTGGGTTTTACTTTTTCCACTTGTTAACCTCTGTCAGCTCTGGGGGAAAATCCCTAAAACGCTCCATTGTAGGAAGTTCACCGTGGGGCAAGGATTTTGAGTGGCCAATGGAAACAGGCTGTGGCTGTAGAGGCTTGAGGGGAGGAAGAGGTGGCACTCTACTGAGCTGTCTCATCTGTCCGGAGCACTGGCTATTCCACCTCCTTCTCTGTTCTCACAATTGCTAAGAGGGAGGGATCCATGGGCTGGTGGCCAAGGACCACCCATGGCAGGATTCTGGCTTCCGGGGACAGACTTGCTCAGGGTGGACAGAACCTTCAAGAACATGCTCTGCCTCTCCTTTTATAGATGGCCAAGAGTAGAGGGGCTTTGCCAAGGCCACCTAGCATGTGGAGCCACTAGGACTAGAACTTTGGGTCTCCTAGGGCTTGGGCCATGGGATGGTCACCTGCAGTGACCAACTGTGTCAGAGGGGACCAGGTTGGGATCTGCATTGCATCTGATGTTAGGTGACATAGGTAAGAGGGTGGTCTTGGAATAGGCCAAGCTTTGGATGGTCAGCTAATCCTCATCTTTGGCATCCCTGGCCTGTGGGTGGGAGGTTTCCATGATCCACAGAGGAGCCTTGAGGTCCCATCAGTCTCTACTGGACTGATTTGATCTGTTGATTTGCTCAAGGGAAGCCCGGGGCAGCTGGGGGTGAAGTGGCAGCCTCCATGACACAGGCAGTTAGTATGGAAGAAGTGGGGGCACTGCAGCGACCTGAGCTGGATGGGTTTACCCCAAGGACACTAATCTTTAGAAATTTCAAAGGTGAGCTGGCCCTGAAACTTCTTATCCTACCTGTCCACTCAACAAAGCCTGCCACCCTCTTAGTAGCTCAAGGAGGCTGCCTGGAGGTAGCGGCGTTTGTCAGAGGGAGGAAGAGGAGGAAGATTCCTGGAGATCCTGTTTGGGCAGCAGGCCAGAGGGTGCAGTTCCCCTGGAGGGCAGGACCCAGCTCTCCCTCAGGACAGCCTGAGCTGTGATCTGGAGCCAGGTCTTGCTGGAGACCATTTCTCCCTCGAGGCTTTATAAAAACAGAGGCTGGGTGCCCCTTCTCAGTGGTCGGACAGTTTTCCCTTTTGTGTTAGGTCACCAATTTCTTTAATTTGTTACACTGCCAAAGTTGTAAAACTACTAATTGGACACTATTGAAACTACTAGTAATTGAAAAATCAGCTCTCTGGTTGATGTAGGTATTGTTTATTATGTAATAATGAGTTCTGAGACAAAATCCAATTCAAAACATTAGTATTGAAGATTCTATATTAGTTAATTTCAGCAATGGTACAATTGAAACCTAATTTTCCAATAAATCTTATATAATCTTTGAGGAATTTTTCACTCCCATTATTTGGCTCTGAAAAACGTTTACAGGCAACACCACTTATTTTACTAGAAAACAAAATCTGAATATAAGTTGTTAGGCACAAGTTAAAAGGGATGATATGCACAAATGAGTAATTACAAAACACTTCTTTTGAACACATATTTGCAATGTGAAGCTGCTTCCATATTTGATGTTTTATGTAAATTTAAAACATACTTCAAGAACTGATTTTAACATCTTTTTGTTTTGATGCACGATGGAAAATAATTCCTTTCTGATTTCTACAGCAGCAAGAGTCATAAAAATGGTCATAAATCCCAAACCAGGAATCACCTTGTTCTCTTGAGAAATGAGCTGAGAGGTTTTGGATCTGGTTAAGGAATTTCAGGAGAAATCTGCAGAGAGAGGGGTACAGAATCTAGAACTGGTCTCTTTGCTGTAGACACCAAAACCCATACTTCTTTGGGATTAAGCTATATTTCTAAGAATGAGAGGTGACTCAGAGAGGCTTTAACCCGGCCAGAGCTAAAGAGGGGATTTCCAACACCTGTAGGAACAGGAAGGTGGGGTTGAGAGAAAACCTGGAAGGTCTGAACTACTTTATACTTGACACTGCTTCCTTGAACCCTCTGGGAAGCTGGCAAGGATTTTCCTGGATAGTCTTGGCCCATGAAATCTAGTTAGAACTTTATTAAATCATTCAAAAATATCTGTTTTTTGGTTTCATGTTACCAAGAGTTACAATATATATATATTTTTTAATATTTATTTTTTTAGTTCTCGGCAGACACAACATCTTTGTTGGTATGTGGTGCTGAGGATCGAACCTGGGCCGCATGCATGTCAGGAGAGCACGCTACCACTTGAGCCACATCCACAGCCCGAGTTACAATATTTTATTCATTTCATTTTTTCTGGGGATTGGACCTAAGGACTCATGCATTTGCTAAGCACATTCTCTCTTGCTGAGCTATATAATCCCAGCTCCAATGTTTATGAATTTTAATGAGTAGGATAAATTATAGGTTACAACTAAACTCTGTCAATGAAGATTTTTAATAAACTGATATCAGACTCTTAAGAACAATGTCTTAAAACTATGTATTTGTTTTTTTTTTCCCTTCTATTCTTTATCTTAGGCAAAATTTGGTTATCCAATTTTTGCTACCTACCAGTCATCTATTTTGGATAGCAACCGGCTGTTACTGGAAAATACGTGTGTATATATATCCATGAGATGAACTATGAGGATGAGTGTTGGGCTAATGTAATGGTTTCAATACTTCATAAATGTACTGGGTATGAGACCTGTTTATACTTACATACATACTTGTTCAGCCCCAAACCAACATTCACTCATATAAAAATATATGACTCAGAGAATCCTTCATTATATATCACTAAAAATATTTTCTTTCACTCTAATATCATTTTATGTAGTCTTGTCAATCAACATCATAGAATGGGGGACAAAATCTTTTTAAAAACAGGTTTCCTTGAAGAAATTAATTAAAAAAATTAAAAAATTTTTAGTTGTTGATGGACTTTATCGTCTTTATATTTATGTGGTGCTGAGGATCGAACCCAGTGCCTCATGCATGCTAGGTGAGCACGCTACCACTGAGCCACAACCCCAGCCCTGAAGAAATTAATTTTTTAAAGTGTACTTTTAAAGCAGCAGTTAGGAACTTTGTTCTTGTAATACATAAGTGATAGTGTCATATCAAACTGTGGATTTAAATTAAGTTTAACAGTTTCTTATCTCTTTAAAAATTTTGCTGTTACTTTATGGCTTCTCCATTCTTCCAATTCCAAGGAATACAAAGGTCTCCATCTTGCATAACAGAGTAAAAATGTGAAACGCAGAGGTGCATCCCATGTAGATAAGGCAGTGACTGTTCTAGAAGTCTCTTACAACAATCCACCATTTGTATACTAGAAATGCTGGGCTCCTTATATAACTTCTCCAGAGAAAATTTCTTTGTTGAAGCCTGTATCAATTCATTTTCAATAACCTTTAACCTATTATATTGAAAATAAAAGTAATAAGGCCATAAGTTATAACTACATAAAAGAACATAAAATGTAAATATTTTCTTCTATATTGGGGCTGTAACTTTCTACTCAACACTGAAAATGACATCCATAAAGTTAAATTATATGTTTAGAAGATATGACAACAGTTATCATGTAGCACTCATTATTTCCACAGGTATCTCTCAAAATATTTGTTTCATCTTTTTAGCAGTAATGGGGTAAAATTAATGCATAATTTAAAGAGGTCTTATTCTTCCTCACCTAGTGGCTGCTAGTGACTGAAGAAAGTAGAAAGTGAAGAATATAAAATCCCTAACTTTAGGAGCCACTGGCCAGCTCACAACAAAATCAATAGTCCAAGGACAGGCGCTCTTCATTCTCCTCCCACCTCCCTCAGCCCTTTTGGTTCCCTCCCATTTGTCTGAGGTTGTACCATTCCCCTTCTGGCTCTGTCTGGGCTTCAGGTAAAGCCTAGGAAGGAAACAACTCCAGAGCAGAACTGTCGTCCTTTCCCACGTAGGGACCTGGTGCTCATGTGGGGTGCACGCCCTACGCTGGGGGGCTGAGTCCTCCACCTTGCTACACCATTTGGACTATACCTAGACTGATACATGTGTCACTTGGGAAGCCCACCTGACAAGGTATGGCAGACCTCAGGAAAGGCCTCCCAAGAAAGTGAATGTGAGCAGGGGCAGAGGGAGGTGAAGACTCCTGGGAATGGCCAAGGGCCAGGGAGGGAAGCGCCTGGGGAGCCAGGGAAGGCGAGGGAAGAAGACAGGGCTAATGAGGCTAGGGCTGATGAGAAATTAGTGAGGCAGAGTCCTAGAAGCTGAGCTTGGCTGCAGGCACCAGCCCAGGAGGACTGTTCCCCAGGTTCACTTAGAGGATAAGAATGGACTGGGGTGGGGGAGGAGAATGTGGAAGCTTGATGACTGGGTAGGAGGTCACCACACAATAATGCAGCCCTGGTCCAGGTGTGGGATGAAGGAGTGAGACTTGGTAGGAATCCGGATAAGTGGGGCTGGGAAGTTGGGGATGGGGAGGACTTCCGGGCTTTCATTTGCCTGAGCAACTGGCAGTTCAGGAGCAAACACAAAGATGGGTGGTTGGGGAAGGCTGGCGAGAACTGCTTCCCAGGGTTTGAGCAGAGGGGCAGTTCAGCAGAGCGGTGCAACAAACACAAATGCTCGATACCACTCGGGAAGCAGGATTTTCATGTAAGATCTGAGTGAATTGTCACCAATCCCACAAACAAAACAGAGATGCAGTTTCTTCATTTATTTTATTCATAAAATGAGTCCCTTATCTCCTGTTAAAGGGACAGTTTCATGTTCTTAGCTGCCATCCTTTCTCTTTATCTCATGAGCCTAGCTTTGGACAGAGGCATCGTGTGGGGACTGAGTGTGTGAAGGCTTCTCCCCCCACACTGTCAGCTAACCACCCTGCTCCTCTCCCTGCCAGGCTCCATATCTCTGTCCTCCTGGTCTCTCCTGGAGCCGCCCCTCCCAAACATGTGCATAGTTGGCCTCCTCAGTCTCCTGCCTGCTCTCTGCCCTGGACTTCCCTTTATCCTCATCTGCTAGAGCCTTAGCTTTGGCTCTTCCTGCTCAGCTCAACCCTGTGGTCTGGCTCCCACTGCCATATTTCAGCTGTTAAATCTCCTGCAGAAAATGAATTCTGGGAGGACAAAGAACAGGTCTTCATCTGACCATGGCACCTGTCAGTTCCAGGCACACAACAGTCACAATAAATGATGGCTGAATGATTGTATGAACAAAATACTTGGCAAACTTCCTCAGGGACACTTTACAACAACTGTCTTTTGAACTTCAGACCCTCCTTTCTTCACAGCAGACACATAACAGATTACTGGGCAATATCTTACCACTCAATTAGGAAACTCCTGGCTATAGAAAAAGGCCTGCTTATGAACTAGAACAATTTTTATTGTAAAATTTCTTCTGACTGTAACGAAAATGCAGATAAAGTTCTCTTTATATCAGGTAGTTTCAAAAATTTTGAACAATAAGATTCCTGTTAAGTAATGGCTACTTTCTCCCTTTGTTGCCACCTTTTCCCTCTGTAGAATCTCTATTTGATATTCTTGTTATTCTGTTGCTGGCTTTAAATTTTTTTTTTTTTTTTGGCACTGGGGATTGAACCTAGGGTGCTTTACCACTGAGCTATATCCTCAGCCCTTTTTTAAAAAAATTATTTTGAGATAGGGTCTTGTACTTTTGATCTTCCTGCCTCACCCTCATGAGCCACTGGGATTACAGGTGTAACCCTACTTCTCAAAATGTATTATATAATATGCTTATAAAACAGTCCACATCCAATCTCTTGCAGTTGTGTGTGGAATAAAAAATATGGAATACCCACAGATTGGTTAATTTCTGATGTTCAATTCTGGTTTTTTTTTTTTTCACTGTTGGGGATTGAACACAGGGCCTCACACACACTAGGCAAGTGCTCTACTACTGAGCCCAGGCCCTTAGTACAGTTCTAATGTTCCATATTTGTGAATTCCAAACATCTGATTCTTTAAAAGTTAGATGGAACTCCATGACTTCACAGACAGCTAGTAGTACTTACTCTTCCTTTCTTTTCATGTTCTCTCTTGCCTGCTGCACTCTGGTGTGAATAAACCACTGGAGATTTGCTGGATCACAGAGTACTGGGATGTTAAAATGGCCGAGTTCATGCAAACTTGGAGCATATCTGTCACTGCAATGAAACATATATATAGGGAAAATCACAGACTCTTCCACCCCCTGCCAAGAACTGAAAAGGAATCATCAAGAAAATCCACCTTAAAAACAAAAAACACTGACTTAAACCTCCAATGACTAATCATGTACTACTGAGCCCTGGGTCTGTCCTCTGTAAAACAGCAGTAGCAACTGCCTCATGGTGAGAGTGCGAGATGGAGAAAGAATGCATTTAAGAATACAATGCAGGGCAGGCAGAGCACATGTGCAGTATGGGCTACTGACTTAATCCTATGAAGTTTGACTATCCCCAGCATGAGACAATATATTCAAAGAATGTCCTAGAGATCCAAATACTTCAATACTCTCATGTTGGCTTGTGTTGTGTGCAGAAGAGGGTTGCTAACATAGTAGTGACATTCTTTTCTTTAATTACTAAGATCCACACTCTGAAATACAAAATAAAGTCTTTATATACACAATCTACCTAAAAAAAAATCAATCATTTGGCCTGGTTCAGGAATTTACCTGTTCAGGATCATTTGTAAGCCACGGAGACTCCGAGGGTGGAAAGGTGCTCGGCTTTTCAACAGTCTACTATAGAACACGTTGAGAAGGGAGTAATATTCTTCAAGTGTCAACACTGGCTGTAATTCTTCGATATAAATGACCTGTATGCCACCTAGCAGACAGCTGATTTGATCTTCTAAAAGCATCAGCTTCCTCTGTAGGTCAAAATAACTTGGCAACCTTTCAAAAAGCTATAGGATTAAGGAAAAGGAAAGATATATTTAGTTTTATGTTACCATAATAACTCGACCTCAGCATCCCAAAAAATGGCATTGAGAATGTTTAAGAAGAAAATTATTTTTCTAAAAAAGAAAAGTCAAGTAGAAGAAAAAAATTTAATGGAATTCTGGAAATATTTATATTAAAAACAAGTAAGTAAGTCTAGAGATTTTAGATCGGAGTTGAAGAGAATGCAGGAAAAAAAAAATAAAAGAAATAAGTTCCAAATAAAAACATTCTTGGTAGGAATCTTAAACTAGTTTAGGTGACTAAAGAAGACTTTTAGAAATAAAGTATATGTATGTATTTCAACTCCACATCTCTTTCTTTGAAGTTTACTCTTAACTAAATTAAATTAAAAGCAATAAATATTATTGAACATCTACTGTGTTAAGTAGTGGAATGGGCACTTTCAGCATATGATTATGAGTTTGCTCCTTTGCCAGGGCCTCAAAATTGGGGTGCAAGGAAACAAAAGATTCAAATTTAGTGAACTAAGTGCCACATCAGGGCACGTTGATAGGCATTCAAGCAGTGGTTTCCAAGAGAGTCTAATTTGACCAATCTTAAAAGGTAAATCGGATTTAGGAAAAGTGGATGAATGTGGTTTTTCTGTGAACATAGTTTTTCCTTTCTCTCATATAATTGCCCAAGAGTATAATTACCAGGTCAAATGCTGAGCACATTTATTTTCATAAGAAAATGCCATGTCCTTTTCCCAGAGTGCCTGCAGCATTTTGCATTCCCAACAGCAGGGCTAAATGATCCAAGTTTCTACATCTTCACTAACATTTGGTGGTGATGCTATTTTTCATTTTGGCCACTCTAGTGTGCAGTAATATCTCATTGCAGTTTTTTTTTTTTTGTGGTGCTAGGGACTGAACCCAAGCCCTCCCACATGCTGGCAAGTGCTCTAGCACTGCACTGAGCTGCATCCTCATCCTCACTGTAAGTTTTTTTAAACATATATATATATATATTTTAATGTATATATTTTTTTAGTTGTAGGGGGATACAATACCTTTATTTTTATGTGGTGCTGAGGATGGAACCCAATGCTTCATTCATGCTAGGTGAGTGCTCTACCACTGAGCCACAACCCCAGCCCCCCATCACTCTAAGTTTTAATGGCATTTCCCTAATGGCTAACAATGAACATCTTCTTATGTGCTTGTCATTTGTATATCCTCTTTGGTCTTTTCATTTCTTTAGTAAAAACAAGCTGTTTCTTGTTTTTACTGCTGGATGTTGAAAGTTCTTTATGTATTTTAGATACAAAGTTTTATCAGATATGTAGTTTGAACAGCTGCTTGGGCTAAAAACATGCAGATGGCAAATAAACACATGAAAAATGCTCACCATCACTTGTCATTAGAGAAAGGCAAATCAAATTCATAAGTAGAATCACATTCCATTAGAATATTTAAATTCAAAATTTAAAATAAAATGAAAAAGATGAATATCTTTAGGCACTTTCTTAAAAAATTAAAGTACTTAATGAGATTATCCAGCCATTCCATTCTAGGTATTTACCCAAGAGAAAAAAATATATATATCCTCATATTTGTACACTATGCTTATAATAGCTTTATTTGTAAAATCCCAAACAGACCAAACCCAAAGTCCAGCAACAGGTGAATGGATTCACAAATAGTGATACAGTTACAGTATGGCACAGTACACAGAAATGAAAAAGAGTAGCTCTAAATATTTGTGACAATATGGGAAGAATCTCAAAATAAGTAAGCAAAGGAAACCAGAGGAAAAAGTACTCTACACTTATATAAACTCTAAGAGAGAAGGCAGCTCAATGGTTGAATGGGGAGGGAGTGGTGGGATGGAGGGGAGGGTTTACAGAGGGCCACGAACATCCTTTGCAGGTAATGGATGCATTGGCCATCTTGTTTGTGGTGTTGGTCTCATATATACCTGTCAAATTTACCCACTTATATACTTTATTTTTTTTATTTTTTATTTTTAATATTTATTTTTAGTTGGACACAATACCTTTATTTCACTTATTTATTTTTATGTGGTGCTGAGAACTGAACCCAGGTTCTCATGCATGCAAGGTGAGCACTCTACCGCTGAGCTACAACCCCAGCCCCACTTATATACTTTATATATGTGTAATTTATTGAATGTCAGTTATACCTCAATAAATCTGTTAAAAACACACAAAATAAAACAACAGAATGTAGGCTTGTGGGCTGGGCTTCAGAAAAGACCACTTAATATCACCAGACACAAACTACCTTGAAAATCAGAAAATCCTCCTAAGTATGTGAACTATAGAATACTGAACATCTCATTGGAAAATAGCTAGTGCCATGGTTTAAGGTTTTGTTAGTTCAGAGCAGAGGTGTGCACCTGTAGTCCCAGCTACTTGGGAGACCAAGGTGGGAGGATCACCTGTGCCCAGGAGATCAAGACCACCCTGGGCAACACAATGAAACCTGTTTCAAAAACAAAGACAAAACAAATAAAATTCTGTTAATTCATGTAACAGTACTGCTTGAATGGAAAGTATAGGAATGACAACCCAATGATGATTTTTTACTTTTCAGCTCTTTCTTACTTTTGTCCAATGGTGATGGACATCCATGGTTCCCAGCATCACATGGCCCACTGCACTCATGCCAGAACGGTCTGTAAATATGACTGTACATCCTGATGACAAAACACAAACCTTTTGGTAATGGTCTAGAGATGCTTCATTCTTTTAGCACTATGCAAATAATTATTTAAATTTAGTTGTAAACTCAGGATAAAATTCAGGAAAAGCCTAAAGACTAATTTTAGGTCTCTGCTTTATTCAAAGGATCAGATATTAAAATTCAGCTCTGATAAAGTCACTTAGTTTCCACTATAACCTACAAATGTGTATAGCAGCTAAGTGATACTATAAAAGAAAGTAGAAAATGTTTACCTTTTGCTTTCTGAAGCGTTTCCAAGTTCTGCTGAGCTAGGCGGCCTAAACTATGCAGCTGGCTGCAGCGGTGGGCAATGCCCCAGCTCCTCTGCCACCTAGGCCAACAGGGACACACATGCATTAGCAGCTGGAACCCCTGAGGGGAGCAAACTCTCACCCCAAATGACTCATTCCTGAGAAAGCTCATGAATTTCTTTCTGAAGTAGGGATAAAGTTATAATTGATCTCACATTTCCAAATGAGATGATCTTTAAAGAATCGATCAAATGGAAAATGAATTGTTTGCCAGAAGGTAAAAATATTACAACCATTTTCAGGTATCCACAAATTTAAAATAAGCAAATGCACTATGTTGTTTCTATTTTAAAATAACAGGGTGGGGCTGAGGGCAGAGCTCTGTAATAGAGCATGTACTCAATATATGCAAGTTAAGGAAAAAAAGTCTGTTACTAGACTGCTATAGTTTTAAACTTAAATGTCCCCAAAAGGCCCATGTGTTAAAGGCTTAGTCCTCAGCTGTGGCACTATTGGGAGGTGGTAGAATCTTTTTTTTTTTTTTTTTGGTACCAGGGATTGAACCCAGGGGTGCTTAACCACTGAGCCATATCCCCAGTCCTTTTGATATTTAACTTTGAGACAGGGTCTCACTAAGTTGCTGAAGCTAGTCTTGAACTTGCAATCCTTCTGCCTCAGCCTCTCAAATTGCTAGGATCATAGGCATGTGTATTATGCCTGGCAGGTGTTGGAATGTTTAAGAAGTGGGGCCGAGTGGGAGGTCTTCAGGTCTCTGAGGCCACTAAGATGGATAGTGGAACCTGCTCTTGCATCTTCCTTTCTTTTTTTGCTTCTTGGCCATGAAGCGAGAACTTCTGCTCTGCTATACACTCCCCATCATGGTGTGCTGCTTTGCCACTGGTCAAAAAGCAACAGACCAACCAATCATGGATTGGAAACTTCAAAACTGTGAGTGAAAACAACCCTTTTCTCTTTGTAAGCTGATTTATCTCAGGTGTTTGTTATGGTGACAGAAAACTAACACACAGAATATGGAGTTAGAACAATCCTCATATCAGGATGGATTGATAAAAGAGCAGCTATAAGCACACACTCAAACATCCCACATGCTGTGAGTCTAACAGCTTTGCTCTGAATTTTCTTATAAGCCACAAAAAAAGGTGACATTATGGTACCCACATAGTCACTGGGTTCAATAAAAGACAAAAGTACTGAAAATGATGGTTGAAAACAATAAACTGTTTGAGCATGAGAGTGAGTGACACTTCCAGGGCTCTAGTAATGGAAGTCCCAGGACAAAATCATCTGGCCCCTTCCTTACTAAGAGCTGTTAAGTCTGGTTTCATAATAAATTTCTACTATATATAATTTCCAAGTTTATGAAAACTTAAATAGTTGTGCTATATATGACATGAAATTAAGAATACAACATCCACTTCCTCTTTTTAAAAAACATTTATTTTATAGTTGTAGGTGGATATAATACCCTTATTTTATTTTTATGTGGTGCCGAGGATCTAACCCAGTGCCTCACACATGCTAGGCAAGTGCTCTTCCTCTGAGCCACAACCCCAGCCCCATCACTTCCTCTTTTGCCCATTTTTTAAAGTCTCAAATACCAATTATACATGATAAAATTACATATATATATTTATTTATTATATATTACACATATATGGAAAAGGGCATTTTTTTCACAAACTCATCATGTAAAAAACTTAAAGCATTATTCTAAACATGTCAGAAATTAAGCAATACTTTAAGAAATTAATAATAATTTTCTTATATACATGAATAATTGATTATGTTCATAAGAAGTCAACTGAAGAATACTTAATTATCAGAATAATTAAAGTTAAAGATGCAAATTTTAGCAGCTGGGAAGTCTTACTAGTAGGTGATTTGTGTGTATTTTAACCTCTAAATTAGGTTCTCTTTTTTATTACCTAATATCTGAGAGTTGTAAGAGATGCGACAGCTCCTCTTTTAAACGATCCAGTTCTTTTCTAAGGGGCAAACTATTCTTCAGCTTTTTAACAGCACTTTTCCCATTGTTATCTAACCAGGATCTAGAAACAAAGAAAGAGTCATACACTTTGCAATGCTAACTATAATGTTAAAAGACATATGTTATCTTAAAGCAGCTCCAATGTTTCGCCGAGTTTTCAGTCAAACCTTTACTTCTTTTTTTTTTTTTTTGTGGTGTTGGGGTTTGAACCCAGGGTCTTGTGCATGCTAGGCAAGCACTCTACCAACTGAGCTATATCCCCAGCCCAAACCTTTACTTCTAACAAGTCATTCTTCTTAAGAAATATCTACTTTTAAGAGAGGCTGTCTGGAGGACTGCCAGCACCTGCCAAGTAACATTCTAGTTATGACAATTTCCTTTATAGACTATAAAAAAATAAATTTAATTCACACCAAAACTGTCACTAGATTTCTGGAGATGGGATAATTTTTAAGAAAGTAAAGATAATTCTAAATCTTTCATTTAGGTTTGCTGCAGCATTCAAGAGACTGTATTATATCAGATCCTCATTTATATCAGCTACACACACACATGAGAGCAGAACTAATAATTATACAGCAAGTGAGCAAATAATATTATAGTAGGGCTCATAAGCTGTTAAAATCAAACCCAAAGAGTTTGACACCAATGACATTAAGAAGTGGCCGCACCTTGAGGAAGGAACTTGAAAATAATTGTTTGTGGACTGTAGCTTTGTAGAATTCAATTTCTCCCTTTGTTTTAAGGTTGGATTGCAGTACTCCAAGTTCTCAGTGCATCTTCCCTTATCCCTCTATCCAAATCCTTCCACTGGTCAGCCTTACAGATTTAGTTCTTTGGCCACAAGGTTTCCCAAAATACCTGCTCCTTCCAGGTGGGCCTCTTCACTAACCTGGTGCTCATTTGCACCTCCATTTCTTTCATCCAACTAAATGCCCAGTGTAAGTCTCATTTCAACTACATCAGCTATATAATACAATAGGCCCAGTAGAAAGATCTTCTCCAATTCTTATTTCTTAGAATATTTCCCTAGATAGTCTTATAAGGAAAAAAATATAAAAAAATACTTTAAGGATTAGCAGGGGACAGCCTTCAGAAAGGAGTGGAAAGAGAGGCTATGTGGCTTTCCAGAAAGCAGCACTGCCTAATGGAGACTGTCTCTTACTGGGTTGTCTGAGCATCATGACATGGATGTTTTTGCTGGTGCTGAGGGACTCTGGCTCCCCAAGGGAAGTCTGGAGAAATGAAAAGACCTGGGTAGAGCCCTGTGGGCTGAAGAGCTGCTGCAGATGTGTGGGCGGGGGTAGAATGGCAAGGTGACTACAGGCTAAAGGAAGGTTTCAGAGTCCTAGATATAGTGGTGGGTTGCGATCTATGCATAGGTGTGCAAGAGAAAACTCCAGAAGAGTGGGGGGAAATATATTCAAAGAACAAACAGACAAGTCATGGAGCTCATCATCAAGGGGGCACCTGAAACCCTTGTGGAATATGTCAATGAAAGTCACATAATAAAATCATGCTGCAGAATTCACATGTCCATCTCAAAAACATGGGCAAAAACCTTTAACCTTTCCTTCATAGTCACTTTAAAGGTTTAAGATGTTGTGATCTACATCATTTAGAAAAGTATTCAGTTTAGAATCAAACAAATCATTATGTATTCATCAATCATTTATTCTCAATATATAGTGCATTGAGTTGTGGATAAAAAGAAATAAAGTCCCTGCTGTAAAGGAAGACATACCTAATAAGGAAAAATAGAGAGAAACAATAAAAACAGAATAGGAGAAAATAGAATACTATCAGAAGAGAGGAAGCAACAATTAATTCTCCCTGGAAGGTTCTGTAGAACAGGTGATGTGTGATCTGGAACCTAAGACATGTATCTTGATTTTCCTAGGTAGATAACTAAGAGGGGAGGGCATGCCAATCATGCAAGTACATAGGACCTATAAGATAAATCAATATGCTCAGATTATACGACACCTGCATAAGGTCAGGAGATGAGACTGAAGAGGTAGGGCAGGAGGAAGCAGACCACAGAGGCTTTTGCATGCCAGGATTAAGAAGTGGGACCTCATCTTCTAAGAAAAGGTGTTTAAAATTGATTCATGAATTTGGAACAGCAGTCAATGATCAATCCTTTAAGAATATTAGCAAACATTTTGTTACTTTTGAATGGTATGTGATAAATAAGAAATTAAATAAAAATATCTTAATTTATATCACTATTATTAGGTATTGCATTACATTTTTCAACCTTTCTTCAATTATTAATACATGTTATTCAGTTTACATTAAATCATGTAAGAGAAAGCATAATGAATGAAGTATCAAATGACATACCATGTTTGGTTTGGGGATCAAAATGTCTTAAAATGTAGGTTGAAGGGCTGGGGGTGTAGCTCAATGGGAGAGCGCTCACCTAGTATGCACGAGGCCCTGGGTTCCATCCCCAGGTCCGCCAAAAAAAAAAAAAAAAGTATATTGAAATATAATCTTTTAATTATGCATTCATGACTCTAGAATTCTTACTATTAATATATAAAAATCAACTGATCTAGTTAACAATTTTTATTAACAAATTTTAACTATTTTGGAGATAAATATGTTTTTTAATTCACAAAGATGAAGATATGTGTTTCCTAGCTCTGGCCACAGAAGATCAATAGCAATTAAGTATGTGGAGCACACAGATGCTGGTTTCTAATAAACACTCCCTACTAAAAAGAACCAAAGCTTCTTAGAAAAATGGCTGAACCAAACAGTGGGGCAGAGACAGTTCAGATGAGCTTGGAACATCTTGATGAACTAGAATGAAATGGAGTACTCAAGGAATGCTGGGAACACAGGAATCAGTTAAAAGGAAACATTTGGCAACCAGGAAAGCAATGTGATTCAGGCAAGAATCGTCAGTGAATTAGAGTTAGAGGGTAAATAAATATCTGATAAATAAAAGGATATTTACATAGTCCTAAGTATCTCCTCAAAAAAGAAACAAACAAATAAAAACCTAATTAAAGGGGAAAACAATAACTTTTCTGTGGAAAAAAAATGGGTGTTGTACTTTGGATCTTGAATGTCCCCAACTGCTCACATGTTGAAGGCTTGGTGTCTAGCCTATGGTGCTATCAGGAGGTAATGGAACTTTCTGGAGATGAAGCCAACTAGGAGAAAGTTAAATCATTGGGGATGTGCCCTTGAAGGGGACATTGGTATGCCAGCCCCTTCCTTTTCTATTCTTTGGCTTCTGGTTGCGAGAAGGTGAACCAGACCTCCTTATTACATGCTCCTTCATGACATACTGGGCTGCCACAGGCCTAAAGCAAGAGGGCCAATCAGCCGTGTACCAAAATCTCTGTCACTATGACCCAAAATAAACCTTTCCTCCTTATAAGTTGTTTATCTCAGGTATTTTGTCATAGTGATGCAAAGATAACTAACAGAGTTAGGGAAATAAGAGATATGAAATCCTTCAAATTAATACAGGTGTAACTTCACCATCAGCACTCTAAGGCATGATGGTGAAGGCATTTAGTCTACACTACAGTTCACTTTGAGGGCCCCAAGAGAGAATTCCTTTTCTTGCCTTTGTTCCGCACAGTTCTGTTCTCTCTCATTGTACCCTGCTAGGATCCTCTACTCTAAAATTACACTTTTTAAAAGCTAAATTCAAACCATGTGAGGTGTGATGATCTAGTTCAGGTTACAAAGATAATAATGCTCAAGAAATATAATCTAAGGCCCCTAAAATAAGCATTAAAAACTGAATACAACTATCCATTATAATTCTATGTCATTATTAATTTCACTTTTGAAGCTAAGAAAACAAAGATTCTATCTGGCTAATAATATATTTACATCAGTGTCTGTCAAGATAATCAGCTATTGACAACTGGATTGAAAAATAATGATCAATAAATTGGAGAGTTAAATTTTCCCTGGCTAATTTCTAAAACAATGTTGCTGTCTTTTTTAAGGGTAGATGAGGAGACAAAAATGAATTTTTTGAGTCTGTGTTGATAATTGTCAAAATAAGACCTTGAATTTAAAACCAAGTATACCTTGGAGGAGATCACAGTATCACAACTAATTCACCTAAACTCAGACCTATGACATGTGTCTCTTGCTAAAATCAGCAGTTATCTTTTAGTGAATATTAATGAAATTAACAGGGCACTATAAGAAAAATGACCATCTACATTCATTAATAAGATACTTCCATTGCTACCATCTTTATTAAGCTACTTTATGTTTCCACATTATTAAACTGTGAGTCCTCCAACACATTCATATTAATTCTTTAAGTTCTTTTTTTGTTGGTACCAGGGATTGAACTCAGGGACCCTGAAACACTAAGCCACATCTCCAGCCTTATTTTGTATTTTATTTAGAGACAGGGTCTCACTGAGTTGCTTAGTGCCTTGCTGTTGCTAAGGCTGGCTTTGAACTCTCGATCTTCCTCATCTCAGCCTCCTGAGCTGCTGGGATTACAGGAGTACACCACCACACCTGGCTCTTTAAATTCTTTAATACAGGTCAATAAAATGGATGTATGAGTAAATAAGTTCACAAAGAGATGATTAAAACATGTTTCTTACTCTTTTTTTAAATATATATATATTTTTGTAATTGTACATGATAACTTTATTTTATTTATTTTTATATGTGCTGAGGATCGAACCCAGGGCCTTGCACATTCGAGGCGAGCGCTCTACCGCTGAACCATAACCCCAGCCTGAAAACATTACTCTTAAGAGCCTATCAGTATAATAAAACAAAGTCTACTGCATTTATTAAAGACTAAAGATTTTTATTAGAGGAATGTTTAAAAAGAGAAATGATAAAGACTCTGAGTAGACAAGAAAGTCTGATGAATGCCATTTATCTTGTTGAACTTCCATTTTATAGTTTTAATCTTTTTCTCCTTTGTTTTGCCAGCTGACTAGCTCTTGGTTCTGGGTACATGGGGACAGTCTTTTCATAATGGCTACATAATCTCTAGCTCACTCAACTGAGCCACAGACTAACTGGTTCTTTGAAGTTCTGACACTTTTTCCTTAAGCCCCTTCAACTGTCATTTGTGTCTTATCTTATCCAATCTCATTTCCTTTCTACACCCTTTAGCCAGACATTTCCCAGGCCCCCCCCCCTTTTTTTGGGCTCAGCACATAGGTAAGCAGAGCAACATCCTCAGAGGGTAAGAAGTTGGACTTGTATCTCAGGCATCCAAGGCTGAGTAGATCCCTGTCATCCCCCCCTGCTCATGGCAATCATTTCAATTCCCAATACAGTCTCTAGGGCAGCTGCCCTTCATCCTTCCCTCTGTTTTTCCAAATCAAATTTCCAGTATATCAACTTTTATCCCACCCTGATGCTCTTCACTTTTACCCTTCTTACTATCTCATTAATTCTGGACTAAATTTATCATTCTCAATCTCATGTTTTCATTTCGGTTTTGTTTATAGAATAGAATTTGAACAATTAAAATCTAGGTTTAGGGCTGGAGTTATGGCTCAGTGGTAGAGCACTTGCCTCAAATGTTTGAGGTACTGGGTTTGATCCTCAGCACCACATAAAATAAATAAAGGTATTGTGTTTATCTATAACTAAAAAAAATTGTATTTTAAAAACTCTAGGTTTAGGGAGGTGATTTATCCATTAGTAGTAACACATATGAACAAATACCATGGCTGGACTCTTACACAGGTACACAAACATGTGCCCTCAGATGCACATTTGTCCCCCTTTCTGGACTGGATTTTGGAATCTAGATCGAGAACAAGTGAGGAGTTCTAGAGTTAGTATAGATAATCCCCATGAAGCAGATAATAAGCCACTGGATAGTTAAGGCTCACTTCCTAAACTGCAGCAAGTCAGAATCCCTTGGTAAAGGACTGGATGCTTTAGATACAGCCATAGAAAAGGAATGTGATGGGTCCTTATGGAGTCTAAAAATGACTTTCTCAAAAAACATTAATGGTGGTTTAGCAAACAAGACACGCCAAAAGACAGAGAAATATTTTGTATCTGTTTTTCATAATTAAAAACATTAGTTTGGTAAGTAATCTATTCAAGATGACATTTTATAATGCTTCACTGTATTTTTTTGAATATACTTCTTAGTTGTAGATGGACACAATACTTTATTTTATTTGTTTTTATTTTTATGTGGTGCCAGGGATTGAACCCAGTGCTTCATGTATGCTAAGTAAGCACTCTACCACTAAGCCACAACCTTGGCCCCTCCTTGTATTTTTTCAGTGTTATGGATTATTATACTAAAGTACACCACTAGTGAACTCTCAAAAAAAAAAAAAAAGAAAGAAAAAAGAAATGCTGCTCAATATGTAAAGAAGCTTGAAAATCTTCCACAGTCTTAGATACAGTCCTATTCCATATACTAGGTGCAACTTGGAACAGAATTTCAAAAACTTAATCTCTTACATATATTCAGAATCAAAAGACTTAAAAAAACCAAAAAATAGTTGGAAATATTTTGGCAATGTTAAGAAATAAATATATCTTTTTCATAATGGTTACTGGAGTAATGATATTGATAGGATTAGTTTTCCTGGAAAATTAGACTTGAATTTTAAACATGAACTACAAATGCAGTTTAGTTAAATACAAACTTTTACATACGTTAGGGTTGTTTCTATTCTTGAGACTTGTTCAAGGTCTTCTTCAGGGTCCTTGAATCCAGTAAAGGAGTAGTAAGACTTGTCCCATTTGATGGGCCTGTCAGACATCCTTTTAGTTTCTTTGAGAGGCTGGGAATGCACATTAGTGTTCATGCTTTGGATATGTTCAACAGATAAACTGCAGGAGTTGAGAATATATAATACTGTGCTTAGAAGATCTCTGGTGTGCAAAGTAAATTTGACTGCTCGAAATCCTAGAGAATATAATTCCCCGAAACAATTAATACAGATGATTATTAGCTGTAGCTTAAAAATCTTTCCATGCACATTTATAAAATCAAAATCTTTCAAAACATTCCATTACTGACTAAAATTCATCTGTGAATGGGAAATTGCTGCCTCTCTCCAAAACTATACAATGCTATTTTTACTTTCACGAATTGCTTTAACATCAGCTGCGTTCTAGTTCAGTGACTAACCCCATTCCCACCCAAGAAGGGGTTCAAATTATCGTCAATGCTGCCCATGAATGTGGTCTCTGAACAGATAGGAAAGCTGCCCTATGAGCAGGTCTCCCCAAAGTCCAATACAGAGAGTGAGCATGTGAGCTCCTGCAGTGTTATAGTGGCTCAGATGAGGAGGGTAGGTTGTCTACTCTGTGGTTACAGAAACCCGTCTTGAATTTTCTTGTCCATTTACTTGCCCACACAACTAGCTAGTAACATAATACTTTTAGTAGTGATTAAAAATTACCTAATTGTTGGGCTAGGTATGCAGCTTAGTCATACAGCATTTGCCTAGCCATATGCAAAGCCTGGGTTCCAGCCCCAGTATTGCAGAAAAAAAAAAAAAGATCTAATTGCTTAAGTTAGTGCTTTGGGCGGGACCCAGGTTCGATCCTCAGCACCACATAAAAATACATTATGTTGTGTCCATCTACACCTAATAAATAAATAAATAAATAAATAAAATTTTTTAAAAAAGTTAGTGCTTCTACAGTATGATTTTGATGTTGGGCAAAGTTTGGAAACCTAAATTGTTAAATCGTCAACAGGAAATCCATTGCGCTGTTTTCTTCCTTGATCAACACTCGCTACCTCGGAAGTGCTCAAGAGCTACAGACTATTTCCCTCATTGCAGAGTTTTCTTGGACAGTGTTGGTCTAACCTTTTCTATGTGCTTATGTATTACACACACACACACACACACACACACACACACACACACACACACGCATATGTGCTTACATGGTTTGCATAGTTCATTTTTAACATATAAATGGTGTCAATCTGGATATGTTATTTTGAAATTACCTTTGCCACTTAATGTTGGTGACTCTTTCACATCTGTATGTATAAATCAGCTTCATTCTTTTTAGCAGCTACATACTAGTCCACTTCATGACTTATAGTATAATTTATTTAATGATTTCCAATAGTGATGGACTTATAAGTTGATTTCAGTTTTTCAACATTCCATACTAGACTGAAATGTGTTTTCTTGTCTTTGCAACTGATGATACCAAAATTGAAATCATTCTCAGAGATACATCTTCTGTTTGCCACAGACTTATAAAATACAGAATGTGCAAACTGAGAGATTTTTAACCTAATTCATTTGATGATGAAGTGAATGCTACAGGAAAGAGAGTTCCTCCAGTTAGTGAAGGAGGATAAGAAAATCCATATCCTGCATTATAGGTGAGGAAGAAATAGTTTTTCCTTAAAATAGCTAAGGAAGAAATTTGTTTCTCTCTTAATTTATCAATTTATTATTTAACCCAATGAAAGGACTGCTATATACTGAGGATTGCCTATATCAGAGTGCACATGTCTTTGGGTAGCAAATAGTACCTAATAATTTCAATTTGTACCTGAATACTGAGGCTAAGCATTTTTAAAATTTTTATTTGTTCTTTTTAGTTATACATGGCAGAATGTATTTTGATATAATATATGTACATGGGAGGCTAACCATTTTTATTGTCTATATATATGGATTATTTCCTGAGCTGTTCTTCATTGACTTTGCCCATTTTTTTTTTTAAATGATGATTTGCTGTGTTCTCTTTTTGATTTGTAAGAACTCTTTATATATTAATTTTGTCTTTTGGTCATGTATATTATGTTTTCTCTCATTCTTAATGTTTTTCAATAACTTAGTTTTGTTTAATAAATAGTTGAAAACAACCTTTAACTGAAAGTAGAAGATTTTTTATCTTTATATAGTCAGAGCTGGCCACAGTGATTTGTTTTAGCATTAATTCACAGAAAGTTCTTAAAATAAAACTTATTTTAACAATAAACCTTATTTTCTCATGGGCAATCAAGAAAATATGGAACTGAAGAAATGACTAGGCCTTTAAAAATTTCAATGTCTTAATAATATAAAATGGTTCTTAAAATTTCTGTGATAAAAAAACAAGAGTAAATGTTTTATCTTACTAACATCTTAATTACCAATGAAAGGCTGATTAATGATTTTTAGTATTCTAAAAAAAATTGATTTTAATTTTACAATTGGATAAAAATGTTAAAGAAAAATGTGTTTAAAGGCTTTGTTAAAGTGCCAATCTGTGTCATAAAGGCAAAGGCAAAAAATGAGTACTAGCAATATTTTAAAGAATCATCAATAGACAGTATGGTTTATAAATCAAACCACTGGGCTAGGAATAAGGGAACATTAGCTCTAGTATCAGCTTTGCCCTTAATTTGCTGTGTGGAGCTAAGTTTCATTCTAAGCTTTCAAATTCAGCTTCTTTAACTACATATATATTCAATATTTAAGCTAGTGGTGGTAGTGGCAAGTAGTAGTTGTAGACCTCAGAGTGACTCTCCTAGATACATACAAATAGAATGGAGATACTATTTTAAGAACTGTAAAAGGTATAATTTGCCTTTATTAATTTCACCTGTTTTCTTGGAGAAACCTAAGAATACTGATGTTATTAGTATGATGTTTCTTCAATTCCTAGCCTTTTTTTTTTTTTTTCTTGGTACTGGGGACTGAACCTAGGGTGATCTACTGCTGAGTTATACCTCAGCCCTTTTTTTTCATTTTGAAATAGGGTATTGCTAAGTTGCTGAGGCTTGCCTCACACTTTTGATTCTCCTGCCTCAGCCTCCCAAGCAGCTGGGATTAAAGGTTTGCGCTATTGAGCCTGGAAAATTCCTAGATTAATCTTGAAGTTTAATAATAAAAACACTATCCATTAAGTAACACTATGAACACTTGGTCTGAAACTAGCAAACAATATGTCTCACGTGACTCTCATAGCTAAGAAGGGCATATTTACAATGGTTTAAACAAATAATGATTATTTACACTTTCAAATGGAATTGTATCACTTAAAATGATACAGTTACTATTTATTATTATTTACAGCATTCTTCAACACAGCTGTTTCTTTAAAAAAGGTCTATGAGTTGACTTTTTCCCTCTGGATAATGACAAACAAGGGGTGATTTTAAGTAAAACTCTAAATCAGAGGTAGATGGAGAACTGTCAAGAAAAGGAATTTGTGATTCTTGATCTCCCATAGGAGAGGAAAAGACTCGAGAAAATATAGCATGAAATTCTGGTCCCTGAAAAGGCCAGGTGTGAAGCCATCATCAGCATTGAGACTCTCCTCAGGCAATCTTTAGATGGAGCCCTTTCCTTTACACCCTAGGTCCTGAGCGCCTCCTGAACATTAGGCAGAAGTGAGGGATCTCCAGTGGTCTCTACACAGCACTCTGGGGTCTTCACCTTGATCAATGAAGACCCCAAAGTTAAGTTAAAGTCACACAGCTCATCACTGGTAGAGTTAGACACAGATTCTAGGTCTCAAAAGACTTCCCAAATTCTGTTCCCAAAACAAATAATAGTTTGTTTAAAAAAATTATAGTGCATTTTCTAATTGTTTTAGCCTTTAGTCACAAAAAGCTCTTAGTAAATCTTCAAATGGTTTTAAGTTTATTCTAAAAATAAGGTTACTCCCTCAAGGATTGCCAAAGGAGATCTCTCTCTCTCTCTCTACACACACACACACACACACACACACACACACACGGATAAAAGATAGGCCTTCAAAGCTTTTTACCTACCAAAACATTTGTCCCCAGTGAAGAATTACTGATCATAACTAAAACCTTGACAAAAAGTACTGGGAAAAAGGCTGTGTTACAGTTGGTTAGATTTTCAAAACAGCATGAGGTGGGAGTTCAGAGACCTGGATTCAAGGTCACAGTCTATCTCTAGGGTCTTGGGAAAGTCACTGAACATTACTGTTACAACTGGGCAAATACTATCAACCTCTTAGGTACTGTTGGCACTAAATGAGAGAATACAAACTATAGTTTTTAGAAGTATAAATTGTTATAGACATGCTTAACACTTAAGACAACACTGAAATAAGGAGACAAACAGGTACTTCAGTTTTACAGACAAGACAGTTAAAAAAAAAACAACACAAAAAATGGCTTATCCAAAGACATGCAGTTAGGAATAGAATCTAAATCTAGAAAAACAATGAATTAAGTGATACTATTTTTCAATGACCAAGGCTTCAATCCAAAGGTATTCCTTAGCAAGGTCAAAATTAATAAATATATGTAGCATGCAGTTTGCAAGGGACACACTAGAAATAAGACCACATACCGGGAGAACTAAAGGGTTCCTGGCCATCAGAGGGGTTCTGGTCTGTTTCTCTTACATAAAATGTAAGTGGAGTTGGTTTCAAAGACTTGAAGCCTGGTTTCTGGAGGTTTTCTAAGTAGACACTTAATCTCTTAAGAGAATTTTCATTGACTTCCTGGAAAAAAGTATGAATAGCATTTAAGACAAAATAGATACAGGACACAAGAGAAACTGTATCTAACCTTTTAAACACTATTGAGGGTATTTAATAATCTAGTTTAAAAAATTGGGACTTTCCTTTTTCTTCGTGCAATGGGGATTGAATCCAGACACTTGAACATACTGGGCAAGTGCTCTACCACTAAGCCACATTCCCAGCCCTATAGAGCTCTTATCAATGAAGTCTAGGGAATCAAGACGAAGACAAAGTTGATGTAGAAGATATCTATGAACTGCTATGGAGTTATTTCCAGCATATACTGTCATGTGAAAAGAAGAAATGCACTTTAGTGAAGGAACAGCTCTATAGAAGAATGGCATCAATAATCATGCTTCTTGTTACTCTAAGCCTCCTCTCAGGCACACAGTGTGATTGGAAATTAGAATTAATCATTGTTTATTTTCATATGTTGAATTTATTATAATATGATGTTCTTAGCTATGAGAGTCCATAAGTCAGGTACATTTTTTGCTAGTGTGATGAAATCTTCCAAATTATTTTTGATACATGTTTCTATTTTTGTCAAAAAACAAAGGAAGAATAGGGGCTGGGGCTGTGGCTCAGTGGTAGTGCACTTGCCTGGCAAGTGTGAGGCACTGGGTTCAATTCTCAGCACCACATATAAATAAATAAAATAAAAGTCTATCAACAACTAAAAGATATTAAAAAAAGAAACAAAGTAAGAATAACATTAAAATTAACAAAAATGATTATCTATAGGAAGTGAAGAGAAATGGAATAAAGTAGATAAGAATGGAAGCGAGACTTCTCAGTGAGCTTTATATTTAATTTTGACCTTTCAAATTTATAAATGTTTTACATATTTTAAGATTAGTTAACGAGGATTTAAAACAAAAACTCTGCATCAGTGTGAGATCCTGGACCTTCAGCCTGATGCTATGACCAAATGGGACTTGGGTCTGCTTCCTGTAAAAGGGAAGACTGGGTGAGTATGTAAGAACAAGTTCCTGCATCAAGCCTGCATTTCAGTAAGGGTAGGGGAAATAAAAAAACCAATAAACTTCATAAATAAGGACATAGGATACCTGGAAAAGAAAAAATTAAAAACAGAAAAAGCACTGCAGTGTAAGGAGGAAAAGGACTGCAGGAGGCAATGTGGGGTAGTAATTTTAAATAGCCTGGGAGAGCCTTACTGAAAGGTGATGTTTCAGTGAGAAGGTAGAGGGCAAGTGTATCAGGGATACCCTGGGGAAGGATGTCCCAGGCAGAGGAAGCAGCTTATGCAAAGGATTGCACAGGGAAGGCACTAAAAAATACAAGGCAAGGGGCTGGGGATGTGGCTCAAGCGGTAGCGCGCTCGCCTGGCATCCTCAGCACCACATACCAACAAAGATGTTGTGTACGCCGAGAACTAAAAAATAAATATTAAAAATTCTCTCTCTCTCTCTCTCCTCTCTCACACTCTCTTTAAAAAAAAAAAGTCTTTTAAAAAACAATAAAATTGGGGGCTGGGGATATAGCTCAGTTGATAGAGGGCTTGCCTTGCATGCATAAGACCCTGGGTTTGATCCCCAGTGCTACAAAAACAAAACAAAAAAACCCCAAACAAACAAACAAAAAAAAAAAAAACAAGGCAAAAGAGTAAGAATGTAAAGTCAGAAGAGCAATTAAACTCCAGGCACATTGTCAGGGCACCCTAGATCCGACTGAGATTCAGTGATTTGCTAGAAGGATTTGCAGAACTCAGAAGAGCAGTTATGTTCACAACTACGGTTATTACAGCAGAAGGATGGCAAATTAAAATCAGCCAGGGAAAAGGCACATAGAGCATAGTCCAGGAGAGGCCAAGGACAAATTCCCAGATGTTTTTCCTCAGTGGAGATTTACGGACAATGCTTAGTCCCCCAACAGTGATGCACTGGAAAAATGAGAAGTGCTGCCTGTTAGGGAATCTCATTCAAACCTTGGTATCCAGGGTTTAACTGGGGGCCAGTCATATAGTTATGTAGTATCCATGTTACTAACTTTAGTTTTTCAGTCTTTAGCAGACCCCAGCGTCAAATTGATAATGTGACCCAGGGCCTTATAGAGGAAAAGATGTATTTACCATGAATCACACTGTTAGCATAAACTATGTGGCATGACTGACAGTTCCTGTTAGATGGTCTTATCCTATAGTTCATTCTCATCAGGCAGGACATTCCAAAGGCTCAAGGTTCATCTCCCAGCACTGAAGCCAGGTATTTGCAGTGTGCAGGGCTTAAGCAACCCAAGTTCACTGAGTTAATCCTTTACAGTTAATCCTTTAAATCACAGAGGCTGTGATTTAAAGACATTTTAGGTAAGGGAAAACACTCAAACATTAATAGGTTCATTTTTTTTCTTCCAGGTTTAAAAACTTTAAATTATTAACAATTCCCCAAGGTAACAGATAACTTTCTGTTGAATCAATTTAATAATTACTTTGAAAAAAAAAAGTACTAATTTTCAAGAGTTTAAGTTCCTTTTCAAGTTAAATCAGGTACTGATATTGATGAAGATGAAAGGAACCAATAAAATAATTCCAAAGCATTTGGCTTTGTAATTCTATTATTATCTAATGTTACAAATATTGACTGTCCTAAGTTTATCATGTTTTTTTCCTTATCCATTTGTACATAGTAACTGAAATTGTAAGAAGGCAATCCTAAAGCAAAATTACTAGGGCATTGCAAAATATTCCTTGAAACATCCTTAAAAACAGGACTGATTATGATGATAGAGGTTTAAGTTTTATTTCAGATCCTCAATTTTAATCCAAGAACTGGTACAGAAAATATGATTACTATGCTAGCATGGTGGCGCATGCCTGTAATCCCAGTGGCTTGGGAGGCTGAGGCAGGAGGATCCTGAGTTCAAAGCCAGCCTCAGCAAAAGCAAGGCTGTAAGCAACTCAGTGAGACCCTGTCTCTAAATAAAATATTTAGAGCTGAGGATGTGGCTCAGTGGTCTAGTGCCTCTGAGTTCAATCCTTGGTACCAATAATAATAATAATAATAAAATAAATAAAAATTTTAAAAAAGAAAACATGACTACTAATACTCCAAAGTTTACATGGAAACTTTATGGCCTGTATAAAAACAATGACAATTTTCATAAAAAACAATCATTATATTTCCAATTTCCAGTATTTACTTTTTATTAATTTTATTTGAAAATTTACCAATTTTCAAGTTTCTAATTTCAAATTTGATCAAAGCACTAATTATATCACCATGACAGAATAATCCAAATTTACAGAACTCTCTATATTATATAATGTCAGAGATAAACAAATAGAGACGACAGGTTAAAAAATAAAGATTTACCCTTTCTCGGGGATGCTGTCCAAAGAAATCTGGGTGGACTGCAAAATAGAAAGGCCTCAAGGCATTGACTGCTTCTGCTCCTGATAAAGCTCTTGAGTAGTGGAACCAGTGAGGGAGAATCTTTTCTAGACACAACCTTTCAAAGAGACGTGGCCTGATTACTCTGAGCACAGACTCATATCCCCAACATGTGCAGTTATAGTCAAGTTAGTACTATACATGGGAAACATCAGAGAACCAAGATAGAAACCTGTGGTTTTCTGAAATCTATTAGGGTTCTGAAATAGTGGTTATAATAAATTCCTCTGATTCAATATGAGAAATACTAAATAATAATAAAATTTCTCTTCCCTAGTCCATTTTGAAATATTAACTGGTTTCATGGCAAATAATAATTTTCTTTGTAAATTTTCTGCCTCAGAAGAAAAAAAATTTCAATATCCAATAGTGTAATTTCTCCATAATGAAAATAGTTTGATAATTACGATGTTTATAAAGAGATGGAAGACATCTTTTTATTTTAAAATTACTAGTGTGTTAATAACATTATTTTAGCTGGATAACTTAATATTCTAATTGTGAAATCTTGGCATAATCCACCTGGAATGTTTTTACAATAGTTTTTCCCCAACTAAAAGAAAAGAAAATTTTTTAAGTCCAAATGAAATTATCTGTAATTTTTGGAAAGCATGCCATGAAACCTGTTTTGTTTTTAGTTAACATTTTTGAGACATGGTCTTGCTATGTTGCTCAGGCTGGCCTTCAATTGCTGAGCTCAAATGATCCTTTTGCCTCAGCCTCCTGATTAGCTTGGACGAGGTGTCATCATGTCTTGCTACACCTATTTTTAAATGTTATAATTTACCTTTACTATTCTAAAAGTTCTAAAAAGAAGATCTAGCTTTTATGCACACATTCTTTCTGATATGGTAGGTGTGCTGAGTCTTTGGAAAGGTTTTATATCTTTTTTTTAAGGTTTTACTTTTTAAAATAAGACATTATTTTAATGTATAATAATTATTAAAATTCTTATTTAATAAGAAAATAATCTTTTCTGGAGATTTTTCAACAATCTGGAGACTACCAACATATTTTCAGATTACCTTTTGTTTTTTGCATGTATTTGAACCTTTCATAAAGTCAATGTATAAGTTCCACATTAAGTATTTCAACAGGCCTTTGAACAGTAAGTAAAGGAAACAATAAGCCAAGGATTAAAGTCCTCAACATAAGTTCGACTAAGTAGACGACAGTGACAACTCTTCTTATTCTCCCTCTGAGCTGTAGTTCTCATTTCCAAGTATATGACGGACACTTGGTTCTGCCAATCTCTTAAATTTTACGTATCTAAATAAGGAGGAGTTATTTTTTTCCTTTCCTAATGTTGTCAAAGCCTAAAATCCAAGCTACCTCTCTACTCGTACCCATGTTCAATTACTTTGAAACTTGTCACTTTATAGTTCCTTGAAATAATTTCTTCTTTCCACTTTCTCTGGCCAATTAGCATCACCACAGAAACGGACTGCACGGTACCACAATTAGTCTACTTTCCTGTATCTTTCCCTAACCACACTGCCTGCCACCAATAGGTTAACTTTCCTAAAACCCACTCACTGTAGTCCTGACACAAACACCTGTAATGGCTCCCACAATTTCTGTAGAATAAAATCTACTACTTAGTCCGGTATTTGAAGCTGCCCAATCTATCTTTCCAACATGATCTCCAATTCTTACAGAAACCCCCAGTCAGGTCCCCAGTGATCTTCCTCATTTTTTCCCCTTTCTTCTACATAATTATAGAGCCCTAATAATCTTCCCTGCCACCCACTTCCACCTTTCTAAGTTGTATTTGCTTATTTAACAATTACCACATACTACTGTGTACCAGGAGGTATGGTACCCATTCCCCCTAGAACCTTCCCTTTTATATTCTCATTACAAATAGTCATTTCTTCAGGGTACATGTCTCTGATCCTAGCTACTTGGGAGGCAGGAGGATTGCAAGTTTGAGGCCAGCCTAGGCAACTTTTTACCCTGTCTCAAAATAAAAAATTAAAAGGGCTCAGGATGTAGCTCAGTGGTAGGGCAGCCCCGGGGTCAATTCCCATTACCACAAAATAAATAGGAATTTCCTCTTCTAAACTCTAAAATAAGAAAAAAACACTATGTTCTGCATATTTGAAATATAATATCATAAAGTGACTGTGCTAAAGGGAAAGGTGATCTTTTTTTTTTTCCTCTTAAAAAATTTTACACCCAGTAATATTCTGAAAGACAGCATTCTTTTTCACTTTCTGCTCTGAGTGGACTCTTGGAGGACTTGGCTGTTCAAGTGAACTTTGTTTTCCTTTTTTGTTCCTGCCTTCCACTCTAACATAAAATAGCCTTAGAATTTGAAATTAACCAAATGCGTAACAGATTCCCCCCTCTTCCCCAATGTTAACTATAAATTGGACCATGAAGCTTACCTCCTCCAAGGTCTCAGGTGGCAGAACATTTCTGAATATATATGTATGTCAACTTCCAGGCATCCATCAACTGCTTAAAAAGTTAAGCAGAAGCCACAAATGAACAAATGGAATTTGCAATTAAAAACACATTGCCAGTTATGTTACCAATCCCCCAAAAGGAAATATTTAGGTTAGTCTAATAAAATATGGATAAAATTATACTATAAAACTCTGATAAAAGAAATCAAAGATATAAATAAATGGAGAGACATCCCATGTTCATGAATAAGAGGACTCAATATTGTCAAGATATCAATTCTTTTCAATTTTGTCTATAGATTCAGTGCAATCCCAATCAATATATCTCAGTTATTTTATGGATATAGAGAAATGGAACCTAAAATTTATGTGAAGAGCAAAAGATTCAGAGTAGCCAACTCAATGTTGAAGGAGAATAAAGTCGGAAAGACTGACACTACTTGACTTCAAGACTTACTCTAAAGGTACAATAATCAAGACAGTGTGGTACTGGCAAAAGAACAAACTGATCCATGGACAGAAAAGAGAACCCCAAAATAGGTCTATGTAAATATAGTCAACTGATTTCTCAAGGGAAAAAAGGCAATACAATGGAGCAAAGATAGTCTTTTAAATAAAAGATATTGGAACAATTGGATATCCACATGCAAAAAAAAAAAAGTAAACTAGACACAGAACTTATACCCCCAATAAAAATTAACTCAAAATGTATCATGGAACCAAATATAAAATGCAAAACTATGAAATTCCCAGAAGATAACACAGGAGGAAATCTAGATGACCTTGAGTATGAAGATGATTTTTTAGATAGACTACCAAAGGCATCACCCATGAAAGAAAGTATAACTGACAAGCTCTAGCTAATGATGTCTACATCATTAAAATGGAAAACTTCTGCTCCATGAAAGTCAAGGGAAGATGACAAGGGCTGGGGATGTGGCTCAAGCGGTAGCACGCTCACCTGGCATGCACAGGGCGCTGGGTTCGATCTTCAGCACTACATAAAAATAAAATAAAGATGTTGTGTCCACCGAAAACTAAAAAATAAATATAAAAGAAAAGAGAAGATGACGACAGCCATATATTCAAAGTATCACATATAAAAGATGTAACTGATACTGGACTGTATCCAAAATACACACACACCAAAAAAAAAACCTTTTAAAACTCAACAATAAGAAAGTAAACAACCCAATTAAAAAATGGACGAAAACCTGAACAGACACCTTACCAAGAGGATTTACCAATGGCAAATCATATGAAAAAAAGTTTAACACGTCATCAGGGAACTGGAAATTAAAGCGCTAATGAGATATTACCACATACCTATTAGAATGACCTAAATCTACAACACTGACTACACTGACAACAGTGTACTGCACCTACAACAGTGCAGGCAGGGACTTTGAGCCACAGGAGCTCTCATTCACAGCTGCACACTCTCTGTTGACGGGAATGCAAAGTAGTACAGCTTGGCAGTTTCTTACAAACTAAACATACTCTTAGCATCCCACCCAACAATTGCATTCCTTAGTATTTATCCAAATGAACTGAAACTCATATCTACACAAAATCCCACCCAGATGTTGATAATAGTTTTATCCAATGTTTGGAAGCAACAAATATGTCCTTTATATAGTCAAATGGGTAAACTATGGTACTTTCAGACAATGGAATGTTATTCAGGCTAAAAAGAAAGAGGGTACTGAGCCACGTAAAGACATGGAAGAAACTTAACTAACTGCATATTAGTAAGTTTTAAAAAGGCCCAAATTAGAAAGGCTACGATTCCAAATATATGACATTCCAGAAAAGGCAAAAGTATGGAGATAATAGACCAGTGGTTTGCCAGGAGCCAGAGTTAGGGAGGAATGAATAGACAAGACCCAGAGGCTTTTTAGGGTTGTGAACCTCTTCTGTATGATACTACAATGGTAGAAACTCATCACATTTGTTAAAATCCTTAGTATGTGCACCACCAAAAGAGAACCTGATAGTATAGACTTATGGTAATAACCATGTGTCAGTGTAGGTTCACTGATTATAACAAATGTGGGACTTGGGCAGTGCGGAAGGTTATGTGTGTCTTGGGACAGGAGATAAGTGGGAATTCTGTTTACTTCCTGCTTAATTCTGCTGTGAACCAAATTTGCTTGAAAAGCCCAAATTACTGAAGAATTCAAAAGCTGCATTTAGGCCTATGACGGTAACAATGCAATCTGGGTTTAACTGTCTTGAGTGATATCTCAGTTTATGAAATCGTGGGGGATTTCCTCCATTAAAAAGAAAGCTTTTGTGGACAGGCAGAGTTCTTAGAAAAAAAGTGAAGCCGCACCTCTAAGCAGTTACCTCTTTGGGTTTTAGCAGCAATGTTGGTACTGGAGTATTTGACTACTATGTGAGGCCCTGGGTTCATCCCTAGCCCGAGGGGTGGAGGCAAAGGTGTTTTGTGGCTTCATGAAAGTAGTTACTACAAGTATTACTTTAAGTATTATTAAATTTTCCACTGTATTGAACAATGAGGAAATTTGCTAGTATACATAAAAAAGCTGAATGTTTCCAAGTCTTTTAAAAAAATAATTACTAAGGCTATTCCTAGATTGAAATTTTAGTTTTGATGAAACTGGTCTACACTAGATTTAATATGATTTTTGTTAAGGCTCTTGTAAAATTCAGTAAGTTCTAAGTGGTGTGTAGCTCCCCCCACATAAGCCCTCTTACCCTAACGCATTATCTCTCAGGATGTGAGGCTTTCCAAGAACGCATGTGTGACTGTATGCCAGAAACACCTGTATATTACACTATTACTCCAAACTGCCCTTTAATTCTGAATTAAAATTTTTATTAACTGAATTAACACAATGCTATAGTTTACCAGACTGGAGTTTAGTTTAGTCAGGGAAATTAGTGAATATCTTAATGACTTTTGTTTTTATAAAAAACAGAAAATTACAATTCTAGTTCTAGCAATAAAGAACAAGAATAAAACAAATGAAAGAATAACAGATATATCTATCATGCTTTTATCTGATGCTCACAAGACTAAAGTCATTTAGACTGTGTATTTAAGAAAAAAATGGCTGAAAGACACATACAAAATACTAGAAATAACCATTAGAGATATTTTAAAAGGAAATATATAATTTAGAACATTATGATTATTGTTTAATACTCTGGATATGGAATCCCACATCTAATTTTTTGTACATGTTTTCAGGAGTACATAAGGTATGAAAGTTGGGGTTAACTATTTCACAGGATTTGTTAAGTAACTTAAGAAAATTCACAGAAGTGGCAACTATCATTATTAAATAATTAAGGGTATATAAAAATTGCAGAAGTCTTTTTCCAACTTAGTGAGGGCTTACATATAGATAGAACATGTAGTTAACTATAATATTTTATTTGAAGACAAATTCTGGGACTATAAAACTCCCAGAATTATCACAATAAATGATCAATATGTCTGAAAATCTTAAAATGTACAATGCAGTAGGTAATTTTGCTAAGACTTCATAGAAGTCTTTTTATTTATTTATTTTTTAGATGTAGTTAGACACAATACCTTTATTTCGTTTTTTGATGTAGTGCCGAGGATTGAACCAGGGCCTTGCACATGCTAGGCCAGTGCTCTACCACTGAGCCACAACCCTAGCCCCTGAATACAAGTCCTAAGTACATTAAGTACAAATGACTGACTTAAGTATTACAAACTTTTTAGTAGGAAAAATTAGTTTGAATCTATCAGAATAAACATGGCTAATTGTTTATGTTTACTATTTCAAGACAAAATTAGTGCCTGCTTAGTAATAAAACATTCGTTTTGATAGAAATAGTATTTTTTTCTCCTCAAAAAAGAAAACTGATGTGGGTATGATAATGTAGTGGTATGGGAATTGCTTCTTTATAAATTAATACTGATTTTTAAAAACACTGTTCCTTGGAGGACAGTGGAACAGTGAGAGGGAATGTAACTTCTTTTGCTGCTTCCAGCAATTCTCCCTTTTCACATACACCTTCCTATAGAAATATGTCATCAATCATATTGAGAAAGGAGAAAATTATATGTGTGTGTATGTATTCATATATATATTCAGTTAATAAATCTGACATCTACTTAAATTATTGTTTTAACATAAACATTTCCTACACAAATCACGGGAAGAATTAAATGTATATTTTTTTGGTTCTTTTTAAGAATTGCAATGGAAATGGATGTTTTCCCTTGGAGACCTGTAAGTGGGAAATAACTATCACATGTTTCCTGTAAACTCTCCTTTAAGCTCTGAAGACTTAAGTGACAGGGAAACTGTGATCTGATCTAGCTCCAGTTTTGGAAAAGGAAAAGGATAAAGGAAGAAAAAAAAAATACAACTTTAAGGGCAGAGGTCTCAAAGCAAAAACAGCATCACCAGGAACTTGTCAGAAATGCAGATTATTAGACCCCACCCCAGCTTTGCAGAACCAGAAACTGGGTAGGATCCAGAGATCTCTGCCAAGACACACTCTCAGGGGACTCTGATACATGCTCAGTCTGACAACTGTTGCTTTAGGTTCTCAGAGGATTGTGAGATGTCTGTTAGAAAGCTTTTAAACTTTAATTCACTAAAAATACCTAATACAGGGTTGGGATTGTAGCTCAGCGGTAGAGTGCTTGCCTAGTATGTGCGAGGCCCTGGGTTCCATCTTTAGCATCACATTAAATAAATAAATAAATAAATAAAATAAAGGTATTGTGTCCAACTACAACCAAAAACATAAATAAAAAAAGTTCCTAATACAAACACAGGGAAAGATCTTTAGATGCACAATCATATGCCAATCAAGTAATTTTAAAACTGTTCTTGAACCAGTTCCTTGTTCCCTGTATAGCTTATTTACTTTTTGAGATTTTTAGAAATAAAATTCTAAGTGGAGACAATGAAAGAGTCCAGCAGGCTGTGAGGCATGGCTGCTTGCCTTTGTGTGTGACACAGCTCTTAGTCTTAATCTTGCAAGGCCAAGAACCCAACTGTACCGCTTCAGGCATAAATAAGCAGGTCCTGGAAAAACTAAATCAGAAGAGGTCTGATGATCAGAACACCAACCTTTTAATCTATGTTGAAAGACATACTGCCGAGAATGGTAGAAGATTCAGATCTCATGTTTTCTTCCCTTATAGAACCAGCTACACAGAAAGTCATGTTACTATCAGCTGAAGATACACTGCTAGAGTACTTGGGTGCTCTCCTATGTAGTAAAGTGAGCTGTGAAAGCTAGGGGCATCCACATCAATTGTAGGCTTCTTGTCTTTAAACTCTTAATGCAAGTGGTTCCTGTCCATATTTCATTTAACCGTTTAGCCTTCCATTTGGAAAAGGCCTTAGGCATGCTACAAAACAACCAAAGAAGTTAGGCTGTCTTACCAGACTTGGGAGGCATTCTGGGTCCAAGAAGCACCCACCCAAGGCTCATGTGCCAAGTCCTGTGTAAAGTTCTGGGAATAGGGGGAAAAAAATCAAGACAGGGCTGGATTTGTGGCTCAGTGGTAAAGTGCTTGCCTAGTATGTGTGAGGCAGTGGGTTTGATCATCAGCACCACATAAAACATAAATAAAATAAAGGTGTCCATCTACAATTAAAAAAACAACAACAAAAAAACCCCCAAATCAAGACAATTCCAGCTCCCCAAAATCTTAAGTATAGAAGAGAGAAGAAGTGGAAAAACAGACACACAGGCAGATGATCATAAAACAATACAGTAAATGTAATGATACAGACATGCACAGGGTAAAATAGGAAACCTAAGAGCTCTGGAAAGTCATGTTCAAGGAGATGGGTGTCCTCTCTAAATGGGGACTGGAAGATGGGAAACAATCCATTTACAGATCACTTAGTGTCTGTGCAATTCCAAACCAAATTTATTGGAAAAATAATTGGTGAAAAATCCAAATTATGGGGCAATGTAAGAAAAAGATTAGATTACTTTCGCCAGATACAGAAACAACCATTAACAGTGTTTGCCAAGTGGAGGTCCCAGGACTGAGCTTTGACCTCTTGGGACAATTTTCATTTTAAAGTAACTTATTTAACAGTTAACCTTAGGTTACTCTCATTTAAACTGTGACTTCCCTTAGTAACCATCTTGTAAGGTTTTTTTTTTTTTGAAAGCAGTTTGCTCCATCTGGCTCTTTTCTAAATCCCTTGCTATGAAATTTAAGTCGTAACAATTTGCAGTAAGACAAACACTTTGGGAAATCTTAAGTCGGAAACAATGAAGCCTAAAGTCTCTGTGTTCTCCTTCCAAGGAAAGATGAAGCACATATAGATACCCGGGCCCCAGACGAGCTTTAAAAGTTCAAAGCCCAAGCTGAGGTGGTGCGAGCTCTGCCTCCGCTTTCTCCTCGGAAGGGACCGACCTACGATCTGGCACTTGGTCCGCGCTCCTCACAGCATGCGCGTTCCAGGAGGCCAAGTTGTGCGAGCGCGCGCTCGCGGGGAGCCACCGCCCACGCCAACCAAGGAGCCAATAGGCCGCGCGCCGCCGTATCCCCGAGCGCCCGCAGGCGGCCGGGTGCAGGTCAAGCAGCCTTACCCCAACGCGCCTGCGCGCGGGCCGAGCCTCGAGGCGCCCCGCCGCGCTGACGTCGGCGCCACAGCCTGCTGCTTCCCTGCCTTCTTACCGGCCGCCCGGGGGGCTCCGCTGAGAGCTTTAGGAGGCGCTGAAGAGCGCTCCGGAATGTGCGGGACTAGGCCGCAGGGAGACGGGTGGCTAGCCGGCAGGAGGTGGTCTGGCCCGAGGGCCGGCGGGGAACCACGAAGGGCAAACTGGGCGCGCGCTGGGGGGCGGGGCACGCATGCGCAGCGCCGCTCCGCCCCGCCCCGGAGCCTGGCGAGGGATGCCGCAGTCAACGCACTCTGGGGACTCCCTGAAGGTTTCTGTGCTCCAGCCCCCGTCACGGTCACATCTTGTTCTTTAACTATTCATTTTTTTCTCTCTAAATGATATGAATTTATGGTTTTAAGCACCAAATTAAAAATGAGGGCTATTATGTTGGCGAATACGCTGCAGATTTTGAAGCTGTCTTCAGAAAAGAAGTTTTAACTTCCAAAGTGGTTTGGATAGTTCTCGTATTTGTTACTAATGTAACAAAATACAAATATTCAAAAAGCAGTATTCTAAGATGCACCAAAGGAAAAATTCAGGAAGCATGCCTTTAAATTCAGAAGGTACCTTGAAAGTTGTGTTCAAGTCGCTTTAATATTATTTTACCATTTACAAAGATTTGTTGTAGGTTAGCTTAGACTGAACTGAGGACACACTAATCCCTTTCATACCCTTACAGAAAAACTTGTTACCTGCTTGCAATGTTCCTTTTTATTAAATGGTGCACAGTATTCAGTGATTTTTTTCACTGTTTGGATTTTGCAGTAAATGGGGATTTACCACACCGAAGTTCTTCTAAATTAATTTGAAAGGTCACTTTCAGTGTGGATAAAACTATTACAAATTACATATATCAATACAAACTTTTACTGCTTGAAAAGTTAACTTGCTATAATTTTTAAAAAGTGCAAAAACTCAAAAGTGAAAACTTTTTTATTGCTTTTTATTTTCAACAATGATTACTTGAACTTAAAAAAAAAAAAGCCTTTATTAACTAATGGTTACTGAAAAGCCAAACCTTTCCAGCCCATTTCATATTCTCTTTCAACCATTTCAGGGCAGAACAATGTTCCAAACTATAAACCTGTTCCTTATTAACATTGACAGTCATGTGCTTAATGAAAAGCTTTGGATCTGATATTCGAGCAGCCATAATTAACCTTTCCACTGCAGCTTGATAATCATCCTTGCTCCGAGGCTTGTTGTCTTCACATCTATAAAGGGAACATCTCACAAAGTCAGAAATTCTAAAAAGCAACAATATGGTTTCTTGAAAAGCTTCATTTATATTGGTACTAAGCCATGACACTCCTTTCACTTTATTGTTTTAGAAGTATCTTTCAGACAATGACCCATGCATGGGAAGAAAGGTATTGTAAATTTTGACCCGGTAATATAAAAATTTCATAAAAAATGAGAAATCTCATAAAATAGTTACTCAGATGATGTACATTTTATATTGTCTTTCAATTTTAACAGTGATGGTGGCAACACCCTAAAATGATTGCATCACAAACTAGGCAGCAACTGATGACTTGTAAAATACTGATCTAAAGCATAATTACCTATCACTTTGTATTTGCAAAGTTAATGACTGTATAATTATTCACTATAATGCATGAAAGAATATTAAATGGAATGAAGTTTTGCATTACTGACAACTGCATGTTAAATTTATCTTGATATTGACTATTGTTAGGTGAAAGCAAATAAAAGTGGCTAATATTTGGTATCGAACTGTATTGCTGTATATCTTAACTTAATGAAGTAATAAGTCAGGACTGAAGAAAGTAAGTGCTAAAATTTACTTTTCTAATAAATACATTTTCTACCCGCTCTCTGCTATCAGTTGTGACTGTGGGTGCTTTTGTAAAATTCATTCTTTAGGGCACTTTTTCCTCTGGGATATAGGATGGGAAGTATTTAAAATAGAGATGTAGGTGTTATATTAGCACTTGAAACAGGAGCCAATGGTCAAAGAGAGGAAAAAGTGGCCAAGTGCCTTCTAGCTTAGCAAGTGGTGCTCTGGTAGACTGAGCATATGCCAAATATGTGTAGTGTTTTGAAAATCTAAAGATGAGTAATATTTTCTCTCAGAAGAGTTAATATTATAAGGCCGAGATCAGCATGATAATAAGAGAAAATATACTCAGCTTGGATAAAAAAGAAATCAAGTTCTATGGATGTCACTAGTTATGCTCTAGGGCCACAAATACTCCCCAAATTCAACAGTGAGTAAATAGACCGCATGTGTGAGGAATGGAATGCTACCAGAAAAATCAAGCCCTCATTAAGATGATGGGAAGCCCAGTTGCCTCAGGCACTATAGTTCACAGTGGTTAAAAGAGGAAATCCTCAGAAAACAAAGCTATTAAAAAAAAAAAAAGTGTGTGTGAGGGGGTGTTAATTTTAGTGGGTTTTAAAAAAAAAGGTGGAGCTGAAATTATTTTCTTTCTAGTGAGCTAGACTAATGACTTCTATAATAAACAGAAGAAATCCAAAGTTGTTCACTGTCACTTTGGTTACTAGGTTGTTGGGATGACAATTTTCCATGGTATCCTGAAATTTGGGAAGTTTTTTTGAAAGGCACCAACTATCCTTTGTTCATTATATATAAACATCTTTGAAATTTGGAACAATCTTGAAAGTCAGGATAATTTCTCCTTTAGGAGAAAAAGGCAGGTTTATTTACAGCCTTAGAAGATGGAGATAGTATCTCCCTGCAGAACAAAAAGTAGGCATGCTATTTCCCATTATAAAAGATTTGGATTCTCTTAAGCTTAGGACTCCTCTCCTGTAACAGAATCCAGTGCATCTGCAGGTAATACACAAAGGTCCATTTGTGGATTTAGTAATGAGAATGAATAATATAAATATGCAGATAGTCATGCTGTTCCCTGCACCACAATAAAGTACTCTTGTCTCCAACAGAAGAGTCTTGAGTCTTATGCAAGCATTCAGGAAACTGTGGCATGCTAACTTGTAACTTAAAGATAGGGTAAAATCTGACACCATTCACAGTTCTTGCTTGATACAGGTCACAAAAGGCCTTGCAGTTTTCTCCTTTTACTCAAGCAACCTATGGAAATGCTCATGTGTTGAACTGAGGCTTTTGGACAATAGGCAATCAAGAGATTCAACTAGGAAAGGCAATGTCTAGATGCAGTCAAGGCATCATGTAGAAGACTACAGCTCCTGACATTCTGACTCCAATTACATGAAAAATTCTGTCTTGTAAAAGATGCTGAGCTTGAACCATCCAGCTAAACTGTTCTGAAATTTCTAACCCACAAAAACAAAGATAATATTTGCTATTTTAGGTCACTAGATTTTAGGTTATTTGTTATGCAATAGAAAGCTATGCAATAGTATTCAATCTGAGGATCTGATTCATTACATCAATAAACTGAAGCAAAATTCTTGTCAAGAAACTCTAAAATAGGAGTCCTGTGAGATCCTTATGTTTCAGGTTTCCTGGGTTAGGCAAGCAAGAAATCAGTGGTATAAGTCTAAATTCAGGGGACGTTAAAGTGTCACTCTAGTCAAACACCTATATTATAATATCTATGCATATATAGAAACATTTTAAAATATGGAAACTAGGCTGATGGCTTCATTTTCAGTAGTATTCTTGACTGAACCAAGTAAAATATCACATATTTCCCTTTTAGACCTGTGGGTTCCCTCACTCCCCTTTGGTACCAGGGATTGAACCCAGGGTGCCTTAACCACTGAGCAACATCCCCAACCCTTTTAAAAATTTTTTATTTTGAGATAGTAAGGCCTTAAGCAACTTAGCAAGGTCCTTAGTTCCTGGGGCTGGATTATAGGTGTGTGCCATTGCACCTGGCTTAGACCTGGTTTTTACATCTTTTGGGTTACCAAGAAGAACTTTTAGGTACCAATCTCTAAACAATTACAATTTCTAAACAAATAGGTACAATTATAGGAAAAGTGGGTATCTGAAGATCAATCTTTTTCAAATCTAACAGCTTTGAAGTTACTTGAAGTGTTTGAATGCTACTAACTTTTATTTTGGTGGTGCTGGGGATTGAAACCAAGGCTTTGAGCATCTTAACCATGTACCCTACTTTTGAGTTACATGCCCAGCCCCTTAACTTGTTTAGTTTTAAGTCTCAAATAAATCCTATGCTTTCTTAAATATTAGCAAATTTTGTAATACACATGTTTATATATCTATCTACAGAGTATATGTAAAAATAAAAATATACAAGTACAAAAAACATTTGTAATGTAGGACACGTATGGGAACCCATAATCTGCTTTCAGAATGTAGTTAGTTTTATCAACCAACCTTTTCAAAACTATCTGTAACATCTGTGTGGACGTTCCAGGACTCTGAATACTACTAGCATTAGATACCAGGAAGATTTCAATAGCTAAAAGCATTTCAATCTCAGATAAATAAGAAGGAATCAATAGAAGTTTTCGGTATAAATTTCCCTCCAGTGGTGGATAGCAACCTAATGAAACAGCACCTGAAAAATCAAACAGGTCAAACTTTACTAAAGCTCCCATAAGTAAAGACCTAGACATCTGAAATATCCATAGGTGACAATTACATTATGATAGAATAATTCTTCACATTAGATTTACTACACAAGTTATATGGTAGTGAGTTTCTTAGTACACTTGACATTATTCTTTATAAAATACTTTTGAAACATTAGATATAAAGTGGGAAATATAAGACTATCTGAAAAATGATGTTTTTGTGGCAGGTATCATTTTAAGCCAATTACAATGTAATTTCAAAAAACAAAAAACAAAAAACAAAAACACCAGAATAGTTCCTTAGGATTTTTTTTTCCAATGACATCTGGTTTTAATGTATTTATAGATATTGCCTATTTGAATTATGAATCTAAAACATGAATTATAACATTAAGTTTTTGCTTCCTATCAAATATTTTTAATTAACTTACAGAGGCATTACAGTTTATACATTACTGTTTCTTACTATGTCTTACATTGTGCTAAGCACTAGATTAAAATATATTTTCATTCTATAGCACTAGGTGTGATATTACTATATTCATCAATTCATGTTCTAAAATAACTTTTCAAGGAGATTGAACTTTGAAACTTATTTTAGGGGGTTATTAGAAGTGTTAAATAGGGGGAAAATCCCTTTAAAACTCCTAGGACATCCAAACTGTATATAGGCAATATTGTTATATTTTACCAAAATCCATTCAAATTAAAATTTAAACAATTAAATTTTAAATAATTAAAAGTTGTTTATGCTTTAAGTTTTTTCAAGCTAATATGGATGATGATTACTAAACTTTGTGAAACTACTATGTGCCTGTTACCTGTGTTAAATACATAGGTGTTGTCTCATTTTAATCTGCCAATTTACTACCTTTGACATGAGGTACAATTACTCCCATTTATTGATGTGACTGTAAGTAATTAAATTTTTTTTTTTTTGCAAATGTTAAGCTATGTCTGAAGGTAAATCCAAAGGATGATCCCATTGTGTTTAATATATCAACACTGAAGTGTCTGGAGGACTAATTGATGCCTATAAATTACTTACTTGGTTTTCAAGTATATTTTTTGAAAAACCAAGAAGATTCTATACTTCCTCACCTTTCTTGCAAAGTCTCGGAAGTTACACTGCATATGAAATAAGGCATAGGTGTAATTAGGTAAAATAAAAGTGCTAATAAGAAAGGTACTGGGGCTGGGGATGTGGCTCAAGCGGTAGCGCGCTCGCCTGGCATGCGTGCGGCCCAGGTTCGATCCTCAGCACCATATACAAACAAAGATGTTGTGTCTGCTAAAAACTAAATAAAAAATATTAAAAATTCTCTCTCTCTCCCTCCTCCTCCTCCTCTTCTCTCTCTCTTAAAAAAAAAAAGAACTATAAAAAGGGGAAACAACCACACTTCCATGGTTTCCACCTCTTAAAAAAAAAAAAAAAAGAAAGGTACTGAATTATATGTAGACACTAACTGCTTTAACATATGACTAAAAAACTTTACAAGTAATTCTTATTATGGATGAAAGTACAGAGGGCAGGGGAATAATGAATAACTGCTAATGGATATGGAGTTTGTTTTTGGAGTGATGAAAATATTCTAAACTTGGTTGTGGTATTTGTTGTACATCTCCACACTAAAAACCATTGAATTGTATACTTAAGTGGTGAATTGCATGGTAATTGAATAATACCTCAATAAAGCTATTAATAACATTTAAGAATAATTAAGCTTAATTGCTTTAATACAAAATTTTATTTCCAACTAAAAACAGATTTATAGGAGTCACATTTAAATGATTCCACATTTATATTTTGGTTCTATGGCATATAAATACCTTCTGACAGCATTTCCCAAGTTTCAGAATTAGTTATTTAAAAATAAATTACCCCAGTAACTTCAATTCTAAAAACTAAAATCACAAAGTTTTGCATATAGTACGTGTGTGTGCGTGTGAGTAGTGTGTGAGGGGAGTGGGGTTCTAGCAATCTTCAGGGAAACAGTATAAAGAGCTGAAACATGACCACAAAATTACAATGAAGTTTTATGAACAAACAATTCTAGCTCTCCTCTAAATTTCTGATCACCTTTTAAAATATATTGTTTTCAAACTTTTTGTTTAATACATACTACAAAATGGCTCAGCACACACATGTGTATGTATGTAACTGAAGTAAAAATCATACTACCTGAAATGCACCTAATATTTTCTTTACCATTTCTCTGGAGAAAAGTTACCACGTGCTAAAGTGATTATAAGTGAACTGTTTTTCATAAGAATGAAAAAGAGTTCCAATTCCCAGATAGTGTGGCTAGGATGTTTGGTACATCTGGCATAGGAAGACAAATCATGGGTACACAAATGATTGTATATATTATACAAATGTTATACACACGACAGTGGTAGAGATAGAAATTTAAGACAAATTAGTTCATGAAGGCAGGAAAAATTTCAGATTTAGATCCTAAATGAAATTACTTTCTAGTAAAAATACCTTTGAGGTGACTGAGACTAGAGAAAGTACTAGTTTTCTAGGCTTACCTATTAGAGAGAAACAGCTATAAATAGACTAACAAAGTTTTATTACTAGAAGTCATGTAAAACACTTATGTAGCATGTTCCATCGACATGGCAGCTTCTTTATTTCCTATATGACCTTCTATGGGACATTCCAAGCTTTAACGACCAGGGATATGTCAGGCATAAGTAAACCATGAAGATATTCTTTAATTTTTTCACTCTACCCTATATTGTTTTACTTATAAGATATGTCAAACTAATTTCACATTTTGTCATTCATTTCCTTTGCTCACCCTCTAGTGGACTTGCCAGTGTACAAAGAAAAAAAAAAGATTAAGTGGAAACAGGAGAAGTAACAGGTTTTGAAAGACAGCACTCATCTGTTCAGACTACTATCTTTGAATATATTTAAATGTCTAGCATTAAATATTATAGATGGATCTTTGTTAAAAAGTAAAATTCAAAACCAATGTATATCAAATTAATTTTTTTTAAAATGGAACTTACTTTTGTAGTGGGTTCTGGCCTTAAGCCATAAACAACTCCTTCCCAAAGAAGTAATCAATCTTCTAAGAAAGGAAAAATCAATAGGGATATTCTTTGAAATCATGAATTCTGCTACAGAGGATGACATGCCAAGACTGTTGCTTTCTATACAGGCATCTAGAAGTTTATTAAAAAGAAGGCTATACTGTGAGACCTCCATATTTTCTGAAATAAAAATAAATTGATACAATGAAATTTAACTATCTCAGTCTCTCAAACTTACTCCCTTCTTCCCCCTACCACCCCCAGACTCCCCTTGATCCTTTCTTACCCACTACAGAAGTCACAGTCATTAAAATGCAATGTTATATATTTTCCTAAATAAAAACGCATTTGATGAAACAAAGCTTCATTTCCTTTGTAATGGAGAATATGAAAGGAAGCTGCACACAGGTTTCAGAGGTTGCATTAACATCTCTGTATTTGGTCCCCATAGGAGAATGTGTATCTGAGGTGTCTCGAAAGACTTCATTCCTCTGCATAAACTACAGCTCAGCCTTGTACTTCCCATGACTAAAACTACATAATTAACTAAAAAATATTCACTCTTAAATTTAAAAAATCCTTTAGTATTTCTATTCCTTTAGTTATTCATAGAGGAAAGAGAAATCATTGTGGAGACTTCCCAACATTTTCCCCCTTCTATTCTGTTGGGTCTAAGAGCTAGATTTTGTCTTTATCACTTAATGAATTGTTAGTGGTCCAGGCTTTATCAGAAAATTAATCTCTTTTCCTTTAGCCTCTTCTTAAATATTCCTCCCACAGGAATTTTCTTAACACCAACTTTTTTTTACATCTTTCTTAAACCTCAACCTCCAGTGACCCCTTATCCAGAGATGGAAACTCCTGTAGCTTGCCATTTAGGGTTTACTAAAAATCGGGCACAACTATCTGTAACTCCTTATGGTTACTTTGTTTCATTACTGACTCAACTGTATATTAAAGGTCTATTAATAGGGATAACCAAGATAAAGCTTCTTGAAGGAGCTCACTATCTAGAAGGAGCAACAGATAGGAATGCTAATTGTAATATAGGATCTCTGAGGAATGCATGGGAAAATGAAGATTCAAAGAGAATATGATAAAAGCACTGAGGAGAGTCTTTAAATTAATGTTTTCATCATCCTATAAACCCATCTCATGGCTCAAAAGTGATTTCTCATGAACTCCCTGTTTCTATCCATCTATGACTTGAGCTTTAACCTTTAAGAGAACTATTTAGATAGGTGCAGTGGTATATGCCTATAATTCCTGGTATCTGGGAGGCGTAAGGCAGGAGGATCGTCTGAGGCCATGGGGGCAACTTAGTAAGACCCTGTTTCAAAATAAATAAAAAGGGATGGGATATAGCTCAGTGGTAGAGCATCTCTAGGTTCAAGCCCTAAAATGGCAGGGGGGAAAAAGACAAAAAGTACTACCATTGCCAGCACTGGTATTCCTTCTTCAAACTTGCCATCTGCTTCATTTCCTCCATTCATTTCAAATTTATCTATGTTCCAAGGTGATGTAAACTAAACTTTATATTTATAAAGTCAAAGGAGAAAAGTATTCTTCATTATTCCACTGCCATGAATTTTTTAAGATACAAGGCTTGCTGGGAGTACTTAAGCAAACTGTTTACAGATGACAAGAGGCAGGGAAAAGGGAGTGATGAAAATGTTTATGTTAGGAACTGCTGACAACCCAAAGATAAGTATCTCTGATTTTCTGAGACCATCAGGAAAGCATATTCAGTTTGCAGAGAATACATTTTACAGAAAACAACTTCATTAAAAAAATATGCTGGAATATAAAAATTCAACCAAAACAGGTGTAGAATTGTTTCTTATTAACAGTTAAACACCAGATGGGAAAAGATAATTAAGGCAGACTTTGCATAAACATACCTTGAGAATTTTGAAAACCTGGTAGATTCTGCAAAACTTCAAATGTCTGTCTGTAAAGGCTCTTGGCTAAGATTTCATGTGCAATTGTACAAAGCAAATTATGTCGATTAAGCACATCCAGTCTATCACAAGGCCAAAGAGGTGTGTTGATTACCCATTCTGATTCTTCCAAAAGAAAAAAAAAGAATATTTAACACCATGGAAATTACCCTTAGTTTAATCACAAGTAATGTTTTAAAATATCTTTTGGAGAAAGTGGCAAAACCTAAGACATGAATACTGAGAAAAGATAAATATAGCTCAAATTTTAGAAACAAGTTATAAGTGAGGTCATCAGCCTAGTAGTATGCAAACTAAGTCACTCTGTTATGCTTATTTTAAAATTAATACTTCATCTAAGTGTATTAGGCAGTGATAAATTCTAAGTTAATGTTTATTTTATAATGTTAAATTTATAATGAATATTTGGTTTAACAACATTTATGTGGCCAAGTTTAACAATTTTACAATAAAGAATACTTAATTCAGTTAGTTTTTGATCCTTTTGGGGAATAGCTCATCTCCCCCGATTTAATTTTTTAAAACAATTCCTACTGTGAAATATTTGATATGAAAGAATACCTAACACGATATAAAAGCTTAATGAGCTCATGTATCCATCACACAGCTTACAAAATGAAAGAAATTACCTTATGTTACAGTTCCTTAATTTCTGCTCTAATTCTTAGATTGATAAAAACAATTTGCTATAATTTACCTAATTCACTCAGTTTTACACACAAAGACTCAATGATGAGGCAACAGGGCATAACATGTAAGTAACATTTTTCTGTCCCCCCTCCCCACTCATTGCCTTCCCAGAACAGTGACTACAAAAGGTGAGTGAAGAAATATTTGATACATAATGCCAAAAGACTGCACGCGAGCGCACCCACGCATGCACGCACACACACACACACACACACACACACACACACACAACACAAGCTTTCAAACAGGAGCCTGTTTTAAACATACTAGAGCCCCTTTGACTACTGATTTACTTAACAGGCTGATACTGTGACAGATAATATTCTAAATACTTTATGAATATTAATTCAGATATCCCCATTTACTCCAAAATATGCTAGAAACTAAATAAACTTAATAGAAAAATTAAGATGAACTTGGTATCTTCAAAGACTGTATAAATCACCTGTAAATATAATTCCCTTTAAAAGTAAAACTGCTAAATAAAACAGAATTTATTTTGATCAAGTTCAATTGGTTTTTGTTAGTCATATATCAGGTAGATATATCCCACTTATGTATGTAAAAAATTGCAATGTTGGGGCTGGAGTTGTGGCTCAGTGGTAGAGCGCTCGCTTAGCACGTGTGAGGCCCTGGGTTCGATCCTCAGCACCACATATAAATAAAGGTATTGTGTACATCGGCAACTAAAAAATATTAAAAAAAATTGCAGTGTTTTTCTTTAGTACTTATTCTTTATCAAGATATAATAATGGTTACATTGTTTGAAAATATATCTTACTAGGTTCATTTTAAAACCTTAGCAAATTCTATAGCTATATTAAAAATTCTAAATAAGGTAGTTATTTCATATATTGAATCTACCAACCAACTGGTAATTCAGAAGTAATTAGGAAATTAATAGCTTTTGATTTAACTAATCCACCTAGTTTATCACTCTACCATTGTAGATACATTTATGAGAACTCCCAATAAAAAGTTCACTAATACGCTTAATATTTTTATAGCAATAATAGTTTTTATTGAATTCATCTTCATGTTTTTTCTCTATTCTACAGTTGGGAAATTCGAAATCTTGTGTGATTCCCAACACCACACACACAGGCAAATCAGAGTGAAAGGCGTTCAAATTTTTTTTTTGTATAATAGTCACTCTTTATCCTCTTACCTTCCAATATATATATATTCAGTCATTACTTGTACATTTGAATACTGGCACTGGGAATATAAAAAGACTATTAAGATGATTTCTGCCCTAAATGAATTTTCAGGCTAGTCAGTGTGATCAAATAACCATCTTTTACCATGGTAAATACTGTGATGAGGGAATATCTAAGATATCTGTTCTCACCTTAATGTGTACACTTACTATAGTCCTAATCAAATTTCCTATAGAACTATATTAAAACCTGATCCAGCAATTCTGAAATTAATTAAGAAGAATAAACCTTGAGGATAATAAAGAATAGTTTATAAGAGGAGGGTGGTCTTGCCTAAAAAGATAGACGTTACATATTCTAATTGCATATCATACTAGGGGGATCCAAGATGGCAGGTTAGAGGGAAGCTGCATTCTGTTGCACTCTATGACCTTGGATTTAAGTAGTGGGAATACTATTTCTCTGTGAGTTACTAGAGGACCCCCCAATAGCTGCTCCCACGCAGGACCCCTGGCCGCCCACCCGCATAGGAATCCCAACTACTGTTCCCATGTGGACCCCCATCAAGCAATGTGGGGCTCCTCCAATTGCCTCCATTTTGGGATACTGCAACTACTGCCATAGTCTCCTACATGCAGTGGCCTGCACCTGGGGACACTGGACAGAGTCTGGGGACAGCTGCCAGCCACAATACTGCATACCACAGAGTCGCATCTCTGAACATGCCGCCCAGTGCCACCAACTGGCCCAATCCGACCTGACACCCTTCCCCCTAAATCTCTGAAAGCATCTGCCTCCATCTTGGGACACCCTTGTCACCATCTTTAGTTGGGGCAACTCCCAGCTTGGGATACTAGCTAGGGTCTAGAAGGAACAGCAAGGTATCTGTTGCCCCCAACTCCCCTCCCACCCACCCCTCCCAGGTAGCCACTAACCCAGCACAGTGCTTGTGGCTACACAGCCGGTCCCTTGCTCACAAAGCTTTGTCTTGAATCGCCCAATACAAAACAGCTCTCCCAGGCAGGTGCACAGCCCATAGAGCGCAGCCCACAAGACCTACAGAGGTTCCTGATTGGGAAGTAGAAAGGGCAGGGGTGAGTGGGATAGAGTTTGGAGACTAATAAATTAGAGACCAGGAATTGTGAGGTTTATAGGCAATATAAGGGGATAAGACTAGGTGTCCACATCACACAAGCAGGCCCCAAAGGAGATCCTTGGGGTGTAGTCTCTCACAGGGGACCGGCAAGTGCTATACTCCAGCTCCAGGCACTCTGCCCCAAGACCAACTCTTCTACCCATCCTGAGGGTGGAGATAACAGCAAACAACAGACAACCCCACTTGGATAAGAAAAATAGGAAAGATACTGAACTCCAACAGAAACAATCTTTGTATTTTCCTTTGAGATCCCCCCCCTTCCTCTTCTCTTGCCCTCACATCCCCAACATTTGTGAAACCAACTACTTTTTCTACTGAGGACTAGAATGTCTGAATAGTATACTACAGTTGTGTTGTATATTCTTTTACCTCCTATTTTTTATTTTTCTTAATATTTCTGTTTGTTTTTTTGTACTCTATTATGATCTTCCCAGTTTTCTCCCCCAAATCACTTTCTCTTTCTCCTGCTACTAACCAACATCTTTAGATTACTCTTTCAAGCTTCCTAAGATCTAATAACTCTATATCCTCACCTCCTACTCCCTTAACACTTCATCTCTCACCTTACCCCAGGTTCTCTTTGTCCACCATCAGAAACAGCAGACCCTTTTGAAAACCTACTGTTTATATTGTAGATAATAATTGACTTACCATTTCTGTGTATTGTGACAAAACTGTAAACATCTTAATAGCAGCTATGTGGTTTAAGGCTGTATATTATTTGTATTGGGATCTACTAATATTGTTCTCCCCCAGAGATACTGGAATCCTGAAGGGACACTATAAGCCTATAGGGTAAAAACTAATACCTTGGATCTGTAGTGCTAGAAGGCAAGACACATGAACAACATGAAAAAACAAGGGAAGAAAGTGCCCCAATCAAAGACACTACATTATTAGAATACATTGGCCAGGACAGCAGAAGAACTGACAGAGAAGTAGTTCAGGATGTAAATAATTAAAATGTTCTGTGAGTTAAAGGATGATATAAGAGAGCAAATACAGGTAACAAAAGATCATTTTGATGAAGGGTTACATAAGCAAATACAGGAAGCAAAAGATAACTTCATTAAGGAGATAGAGGATCTGAAAAGAAAACAAACAGAAATCCTCAAAATGAAAGAAATAATAAACCAAATTAAAAGCTCAATAGAAAGCATTACCAACAGATTAGACCACTGGAAGACAGGACTTCAGACAATGAATACAAAATATATAATAATGAAAAGAATGTAGCTTACACAGTCAAACTGGTAAGAGACCATGAGAAGAAGATTCAAGAAATATGGGTTAACATAAAAAGACCAAATTTAAGAGTTATTGGGATAGGAAGGCACAGAATTCCAAACCAAAGAAATGAACAATCTATTCAATATTAGCAGAAAAATTTCCAAACATGAAGAATGAATAAGGAAACCAAATACAAGAGGCTTACAGGATACCAGGTGTACAAAATCACAACAGATCCACACCAAGGCACATTATAATGAAATTGCCTAGTATTTAGAATAATGAGAGAATTTTAAAAGCCACAAGAGAAGGGAATTTACATATGAGGAAACCAATTAAGATCTCTGCAGATTTCTCAACCCAGACCCTGAAAGCTAGAAGATCCTGGAATTAACATATACCAAGCTCTGAAAGAAAATGAATGCCAACCCAGAATCTTATTTCCAGCAAAATTAAGCTTTAGATTTGATGACAAAATAAAAACCTTCCATGATAAGAATTTACAACCAGAAAGCCTGCACTACAGAACACCCTTGGCAAAATATTCCATGAGGAAGAAATGAAAACAACAATGAAAATCATCAAAGGGAGGTATTACACTAAAGGAAAAACCAGTCAAAGAGAAACCAAATCAAGTTAAATACCAAAATAAACAAAAATGACTAGGAATACAAATCATGTCTCAATAATGGCCTAAACTCAATCAAAAGACATAACTGGAAGTTTTTTTTTTTTTTTTTAAAAAGGACCTAACAATATGCTGCCTTCAAGAGACTCATCTCACAGAAAAAGACATCCACAGACTCAAGGTGAAAAGTTGGGAAAAATCATACCACTCATGTGGTCTGCAGAAACAAGCAGAGGTTTCC